CCCCCCCCGCCCTCTACAAACACATCCCCTCTATTGAGAGTAAATGATGTTTTAAGACTTTGGGAGAAAACAGAAAATTGGACATGAACTGGAAAGTTTTCAATTTACAGGGGTAGCTTCAAACTAACTTTTATTTAAAATTGTTCTCATTTCCACCTCTGTTATAAAGTATGTGCTTTTTACAACAAGATTCGTTAACATGAGGGGTGGGGTCGGTCATTTCTAATGGGGATAGGTAAAGATTTGTCAAGAAAAAATATACCCCTGACGAATTTACCTGAAGATATAATTTTGTTTCATCACAGCTTGTATCTCGGTCCCGTCGCCCTCGAGTTTTTCTGTAAAATTGTATGTTAATGTTATTTTATGTTAAAATCACAATTGCAATTTATAAGTTTTAGGTTCGTGTTTATGTTTAAAACCAAAAAATCCTTAGAATGTTATTTTTTTATTATTCGTGGTGTTAGTTTTGGTAGATTTAAATTAATGAACAATGAGTAAATGAACCAATGAGTAAACAAACTAATGAGTAAACGAACCGAAGATTAAACGAACCAATGAGCAACCAAACCAATGATGAAACGAACCAAAGATTAAACGAACCAATGAGTAAACGAACCAGTGAGTAAAGGAACCAATGAGTAAACAAACCAATGAGTAAACGAACCAATGAGTAATTGAACCAATGAGTAAAGGAACCAATGAGTAATTGAACCAATGAGTAAAGGAACCAATGAATAAAGGAACCAATGAGTAGTAAATGAACCAATGAGTAATTGAACCAATGAACGAACCCATGAGTAAACGAACCAGTGAGTAAACGAACCAGTGAGTAAACGACCCAGTGATTAATCGAACCAATGCGTAAACGAACCAATGAGTAAAGGAACCAATGAGTAAACAAACCAATTAGTAAACGAAATAATGAGTAAATGAACCAATGATTAAACGAACCAATGATTGAACGAACTAATGATTAAAGGAACCAATGAGTAAAGGAACCGAAGATTAAACGAACCAATGAGTAAACGAATCCGTAAGTAAACAAACTAATGATTAAACGAACCAGTGATTAAACAAACCAATGATTAAACGAACCAAAGATTAAACGAACCAATGAGTAAAGGAACCAATGAGTAAAGGAACCAATTAGTAAAGGAACCAATGATTAAAGGAACCAATGAGTAAAGGAACCAATGAGTGAAGGAACCAACGATTAAAGGAACCAATAAACCATCAAACCAATCTGGTTCAAGAAGAGTTGGACATTCAAAGTAAAGTTTTGAATAGGTAATATTAGAAGATCAGAGCCTATTGGTGTTCTTATAAACTGAGGTTTTCAGTTCAATTATAAAGTGAATTTAGTGCTTTTAGAGTTGATCATTTCTCTGCGAAGCAGTTTTAAAAATAAAGTTTTAAGTCAGTGCACGTCAGTGCTGCGGCAACAAAGCATTGAACAAATAAACCAACTAATCTTCACCAACCTAATCGAATACTTAATTAATCAAAATAAAAAATTGATAATTGAGTGCATTAATTACCCCATAAACCAGTCCACCGTGTCCCGCAGGTATTCTGGAAGCTTCTCCAGCTTGAATTAATTAAAGTATCCAGCATAGATAAATCAAACCCCGCTACTTTAATCTAAACAAATATATTATTAATTTAATTATCCAGCATAGATAAATCAAACCCTGCTACTTTAATTTAAACAAATAGATCACTAATTAAAGTATCCTGAAGGGGGAGGGGGTCCAAACATCGTTCTCTGGGACAGACCCGAAAATGAAAACATTTCCCAATATACAGGGTGTCCCACATCATATTAGACCGTCAACGGGTCTAAAATGCGATTTTCGGGACGAATAAGAAAATTTGATTAGAATGAATTAATTTGAAAAATAACATAAGGCTTTCATAAGAATTTTCTTGCGGAAAATGATAATTTCGAGTATTAAGGGTTTATTTTGTCGTTATAAGATTGTTGATAATCTAATATGATATGGGACGCTCTGTATGTTCAAAAGATAAATTACAAAACGAGTCTTCGTTACAAAATAAGTGTAAGATTTAAATCGTTAAGTTACTAGTTAAATAAATTTAATTTTTCAACTGAAAACAACTCGTGCAACAATTCGGAACTTTGTTTTCCTCCGAAAATGATTCACCAGTTTTTCGTCAAACGATTTTGAAGAATCATGGCGCCCTTAAAATCCGGTTTTTAACTACCTGTCATGCTTCGGCGTTTGTCTTCGCTCAACCAATCAGAGAAGAGAATTCGACCAATCATAAACCAGAATTTAACCAATCAGAGGAGAGAAAAGAAAAGTCGTTTAACCAATCACAGAACAGTCTTAGGATCAGACGAATAATTTCATCCAATCACAGACTGTAAAAACTTCTATGGCCTTCTCATACTGCGGCTATTTATCTCAAGATTTATTTAAATTTAATCAAATATAGTCAAATAGCTTATTAATAAACTACGGGTGCATGTAAAGATTAGCTTACTAATTTCATCATACTTTTGCGTCGTACTTAATTATATTTTTTAACACTTCACAAGCTGTTAAGTTGCAAATTAAAATTTTAAGATATAAATAGAATAGAAACAACTCAAAGTTTATGTAATTGTGAGGGTCCGTCCTAGTATACGATTTTTGGACCCCCCTCCCCCTACTATCAATTTTGCACATTTATCTTTTATTAGTTTAGGGTTAGGCTAGGTTAAGACAATTTCTGGGCCAAGCGCTGGGGCTAGGATGGGCTAGGGGGCCGAGCGCTGCGGCTAGGACAGGCTGGGGGCCGAGCGCCGCGGATAGGACAGGCTGGATATAAAATTAGATTAAACAGCTCGTAAATATATACTTTTTGTGTTTGAACTTAGATCACACTGCTACAAATTATTGGCTATCGTGTATTATTATGGGCAAGCCATTAACTGAAAGTTTATACAGGAGGTGATTAGGGTGAACAGGGTGGGAAACCCTCTCACAAAACTAAAAAAGCATTAGTATTACCTTAAATTTTATCTCACAAGGAGGGGCACACGCCCGTGTGCCTCACCCGTTACGGCCCTAGAGGGAGGGGGAATTCACTGTCAAAAAAGGTGATACCTCTTCTCTTGGATTGAAAAAAACATTTACCTGGCTTTTAGTCGATATGTCGCACACAATTGATTTTCTACGTTTTCATCTTTCTAAAAAGTATCAAGAACGACTTTCACCAAATTTATTATCATTGAAGAAAATAAAAAATAAATTGAAAATACAGTGAGTTAAATAAAAACCAGTGAGACGGGAAGCAGCTAGGAAGATCAAAGGCAAGATTGGTATTTCTCTAAACAGCTGATTTGCTTGTGAGTGTACACTGGCTGTCCGACAATTCCTAGACTTAGGTGTTCATAAATTACTGTACAATTTGCACATGTAGGAGTACATAAGCGCTAGACAATTTTTAGAAGTATTTATAGGTTATCCACAAATGATGAAACTGTAAAGACGACCCAAGACACTGAAATATGACAATTTGGAGCTTGTTCTTAGTTCATGCATGCAATTAAGTATTTTGATGGTTTACTAAACATGATAAATAGCTCAGAAATAAGCCTGCAATGAACCCCGAATACATGAAATCGGAAGAAAAAAATTCCGTACAATCGCCTATGAAGTCTCATTCTTTGTGGGTAACCCTATATGTGAAACCTGAAGGCCCGTAATGCTAGAAATTTCTAGTCCTTCTTAAAAGTTTTTCATTTTCTTCTTTTTGTCTTATGATAGTGTGCCCTTCCCTCGGGGTATAGGGGGGGGGGGGCGTGCCCCTGTGCCCCCTCAATAGCTACGGACTTGTATGTAACATTATATTGTCGGACGATTTTACTAAATTTATGATTTGATAAGCATTTATTAAACTATTTGCTTTGAAACAAAATCGAATATTTTAGAGTATTGCTATACTGTCGACTTCCTATTCCATGGTTTTCGGGTTATCACTGTAATATATCACTGCAAACTAGATAAAAGGATAAGGTCAAATTAATGTTGAATTACTGACTTTATGACCTCATAGTTTCTCTAATTATAATCTTACACAGAAGTATAAAAAAGCAAATTTATCTGATTACATATTAGCGATTCACTAAGACGAGTTTGATTAAAAATATTAGCAGATTTTGAAATTATGTGCAATTAACTTTAGTTTGACGTGTGGTATAGGACAAATATTTGTTCAAAACAATCATGGACAATATAAAAATATGTTTTTTTGGTATGCAATTAAAGTAAATATAATATCAGGCGCGTACACAGAATTTTAGCCAGGGTGGGGGGGGGGTGGTTTTTGCGTTTTGTTTTGCCCCCCCCCCCGCATTGGCCATAAAAATGCTGTTATTCTATATTAAGTCTACTACATGTCCCCTCGATATGTAGCCCATTGTATAGTCCCAATTCAAATTTTACAATGTATCCCTCTGTATTACTCTGTGAAGTCCTGATTAGTCTCTTGAAGACTATCATTAGTCTTCCGTCGTTTTTAAATTCTCCCATAATCCTCCTCTTCTAATGCAATCTCCCCCTGTCCTTCATGGGGGTTGCAAGAAGACATGCCAAACACTTGCATAATGCATATAGCTGTAATTGTTTCTCAAGTGGGGGGGGGGGATTTTAGATAAAAGGGAAGTAATGAGGTAAAAGGACCTGTAAAATCTTTCCCTGGGATGTTTAGAAAGATGAAAATTTCCCTTTATGATACTTGAAGGACTGCAGTATGGTTTTGGTGAATTATATTGGCGTACTGAGCAGGGGTGTCAGAAATGATTTTTTGCATATTTTTAAAAACTCCTATAAAACTCATTAAGTTTAATTTTGATTAAACTTTTGATCTGAATGATTACAAATACCTGTTTAAAACTTTCTTAAAATGGCATATTTTTTTCTAAATTCATTTAGTTAAGAGTTTGAGTCAAAATAACTATTAATAAATTTTGCTTTATATCGAGTAGATATCCTGAAACATACCGATGTAAAACCTTTCATAAAGTAGGAAAGATTCTGCAAACAAAGTTGCCAAAACAAACAGAATTTTTTTTTTAAACTTTGGGGTACTGGGTACAAAATAAAAATTCTGTTTGGTTTGGCAAATTTTTTCTAGAATCTTTCCTACTTTCTGAAAGGTTTCACATTGGTATGTTTAAGGATATCTACTCGATATAAAGCAATAATTATCAATAATTATTTTGACTTAAACTCTTAACAAAGAAAATTTAGAAAATCATGTGGGTTCAAGAAAGTTTCATCAAAATTAAACTTTTTTTTAGGTTTATGGGACGTTTTCAAAAAAATGCAAAAAAATATTTTTGATACCCCTTGCCTTAGTACGTCAACATAATTCACCAAAACCATACTGCAGTCCTTCAATTATCATACAGGGAAATTTTCATCTTTCTAAACATCCCAGGGAAAGATTTTACAGGTTCTATAAAAATGGCGCGAACAACCAAGACAATGTTCTATTACTTTTCAAGGGGGAAAACACCCCTCTTGAAGATAAAGGCAAGCTCATTTGTAAGAGGACTTCTGTCCCCCCCCCCCTGTATAAGCGTCAGATAATAGTATTATTGATAATAATGATCAAATGATCAAATAACAATTATATACAATTTTTGTGTTCACCTCAAATATTTTCCATTGAACCGTGTCAGCTTACGTTAAGAAAAACTAGTTTCAGGGGTTAATATACATCTCTATAGTTTCATTATAAATTTTTCACCATCACAGTTTGTTTACATAAAACTGAAGAAAATATTATAAAATATCCGATAATTTGATAATAAAGAGTAAAATTTATGATTCGGCATAACTGTTAACATTTTAGTATAATATTTGATTACACAATTTACAAAGTCAAGTGTTGCGAATAGTATTAGTCACAGAATAAACATTGTAATCATTTTTAACTATCACAATTTATTTACTCAAAATATGAAGAAAATATTAAAAAATATTTATTCAAAATAAAATTTATTATTCTGAATATGTATCAAGTTTTAAATAACTGTTTACATTTTTGAACACTTCTTTGATTATGCAATTTATATATAGTTAATTGTTCTGATTGTGAATAGTTTGTAGCTAATCAGATTTATATATAGTTAAGTGTTCTAATAGTGAATAGTTTGTAGCTAATCAGATTTATATATAGTTAAGTGTTCTAATAGTGAATAGTTTGTAGCTAATCAGATTCATGATTGTGAATAGTTTGTAGCTAATCAGATTCATATTTAGTTAAGTGTTCTGATTGTGAATAGTATGTAGCTAATCAGATTTATATATAGTTAAGTGTTCTAATAGTGAATAGTTTGTAGGTAGTCAGATTTATATATAGTTAAGTGTTCTGATTGTGAATAGTTTATAGCTAATCAGATGTATACACAGTTAAGGGTTCTGATTGTGAATAGTTTGTAGCTAATCAGATTCATATTTAGTTAAGTGTTCTGATTGTGAATAGTTTGTAGCTAATCAGATTTATATATCGTTAAGTGTTCTGATTATGAATAGATGTAGCTAATCAGATTTATATACAGTTAAGTGTTCTGATTGTGAATAGTTTGTAGCTAATCAGATTTATGATTGTGAATAGTTTGTAGGTAATCAGATTTATATATAAAGATAAGTGTTCTGATTGTGAATATATGTAGCTAATCAGATTTATATATAGTTAAGTGTTCTGATTGTGAATAGTTTGTAGCTAATCAGATTTATATATAGTTAAGTGTGCTGACTGTGAAAAATTTGTAGCTATTCAGATTTATATAAAGATAAGTGTGATGATTATGAATAGTTTGTAGCTAATCAGATTTATAAATAGTTAAGTGTGCTGATTATGAATAGTTTGTAGCCAATCAGATTATATTATTTATTTATTTTCGTTTTTAGAGGGACGGCGCGGACATATTTTCAATTTACGGAGAGGTATGTCTGATTTGCAACGGAACCCTTTAAATATTTGTCCAAGCAAAATTTTATAATTTACTAGCTGAAGTGCCCAGCGTTGCCCGTGAAATTTATTTTTAAATTAAATGTTGAAAAATAAATTTAATTTAAAACAAATATCTGAATAATTTGATTTTTTAAGCCTATGTTACCCCCGGGGTAGTCAAGGGTTGCCTCAAAAAGATTCAGTCCATTCGGTCCAGCCGTTTGGTCAGCGTTAGCTGACATAACTAAATATATGAGCGAAGAGCTTTATTACATAGATTAATTTCAATTGTGGTTCTTTTAAAATTTATTTTGAACATTACTGCTGAGATAAACGTTTGAAGGGTAACGGAGATGAATCTGACATGTAACTTGAAATTATTTCTTCTTAAGAAAGGTTAGATATAGAGTCTGAGTTTTCTAATTATTCAAAGTTGTATGATTCAACAGTTGCATGCATAAAGTATAATCGAAGACAAAATGGATTTTATCGAAAGCAATACAATTTTTTTCTTCTTGTTTTCGCTTTTTACATGTTCACTGAGAATACTAATTTGTGCTTTTAAAAAACGCTTAGATGCAATTTTGAAATATAAAACAAGATAACATTCTTTAAAGCTTAAGAGAAATTTGCTTTAAACGAAGAAAAAACGATACCCATTATTATAAACGATTTTTAACAAGTATTTTAGATTATACAGTGAAACCCTTAATAACGAATACATCGGAAGAATTTATCAAATGCCGTCTTGACAATTTTTCAATGAGTTTCATACTATAATAAGTAAATTTTAGTATTTGCGAAAATAAATAAATATCCATGAATATGCGGGAACAGTTTTAAAGAGATCCATACAAAAATTTAATTAAAAAACTAAATATCTGCAACATCAGAAAGTGAAGAATACGACATTTGATGAATTCTTTCGATGTATTCCTTATTAAGGGTTTCACTGTATAATCTCTTCGTTTGAAGAAATCCTTTAACTTTTGGTTCGTTATATCGTACAAACTAAAAACCAAGAAGAAATCCTATCATTTTGTTCGAAATAATTCAGAGTTACCAACTTCATTTCAAAATTACTAAGAGAAAGATAGAAATATATCAATTCTGTTTAAAATTTATAATAAATATTTCAGAGAAAATGTCCTACTGTGCCTGGGTGAAGGAGGAGATTCACAGGAAAAGATTCAATAAGTCTAGAATGGACTATGTAATAAATATATAAAAGTTTAATATACCCCCCCCCCTCACCCCTTTTCCCAGGAAACCAAAAATTAAGCCCATTAAGATATTGTGTAACATACTGTCTCCAAAACAATGCTGGGCCTGTTATTACCTACATATACAGGGCTACCCATAACAGAGTCTTAATGACGCCCAAAATACCATGAGATATAACAATTAGAAGGGTAAAATTGATATTGTCCACTAAAAATAGTCATGCATGCTGCTTAATGATTTGGCACTGAAACAAGTTTTAATGTGCAGGGAATCACTGTGTGGAAAAATTTGCATAGATTCTGTGCAGTCGTCTCTAGTGTCTCATTCTTTGTGGGCAACCCTGTATAAACACAATACTTATTAACTTTATTTGAACAGGGATAATTTCAGTCCTGGACAGTACAACTGCAGTCAGTGTGATTATCCACTCTTCTCCAGGTCTCATTTGCTGCATTTTTTTTTTTTTCTCATTATTCTATTCTATCCGCCGTACTGTACTGTACTGTGCCTTAGAGTGGTTTTGGAATTCTAACAGTTTCTACCAATTTGGTCCTTTTTTCCAGGGTATTCAATCGATCAATATTTTTTGCAATAAAAATTGCGCAATTTATACAAAGACAGACATTTTGTTTTTACAAAAATGGAAGAATTGAATTTTCTGAAGTTTAAATATCAATTTTTTTTAACTTTTTATCTATAACATATCCAACATTAAGTTTTCTTCTAATAAAATTTTCCCAAAATACTCAATTTAATCTATACAATGCAATTTATTGTGCACTCAAGTCAAACTTTAGAATGGTGGATATCGAGATCAATGCTTGATCCTCTTTTTTTCTTAATATCAAGACTATATTTAATCTTGTGCTTGTATCCTGAAAAATGTATAAAATTCAACCGATCAGAGTCGCGTCTAAAAAGCCTGGAAATTTGAAATTTTGCGCGCCCTTTAATATTAATATACAGAAACGAGGGGGAATCTCTAATTTAAAAAACCGGTTTTTGATTTTTCTCTACTATTGCAAGAAAGAGTAGTTTAAGAAGAAAATCAAAAGTGTGTCCATTGGATACTCAGATTAAGTAATCAGAATTAAGGATATCTCATTCTAAAGTTTTCAGCTCTGGCTAGAATTCTTTATGATCTTTTTGAAACTTTTCATTATTTCATTACTTTTTTATTTTCAACTTTGCAATTTTGTTTCTTGTAAGTACTGATGGACATTGTTTATCAAAAAATCGAAAAAAAAAACATTTTTTTCTGTTTAGTTTAAGATTTTTTGATAGTTAGAAACTTTTTTAAACAAAACAGAACAACAGCAGTTGTAAAGCAAAATTATTATTTTTATTTAAGTAAAAATTGTAAAAATTTATTGTGTATTATTTAGAGTTGAGTCTAGGTATGTTGGTTTTTGTGAATAGACTTTAAAATAGGGCTAGACAATTTTCCTTTAACGAACGTTAAATTTTGAAAAATGAACACCAATATCCAATTGCATGAAAAAAGTAGAGAAAATAAAAAAGAAGGAACTCGAATGTGTTTAAAATTTTTAAACAAAATAATCATTAACGGATTGATGATGAACAAAATCTAACATATATTTAATTAACGCCGTTAATAAAATTAAGATTGTCAACAAACATTATAACTTTAAGAAAGAACTGCACACAATGCCATTAACAAAAGGAACATTCCGTTCTTTGCTTACAATTATTGGCTACCTGAAAAATTGATCCGTTAAGTTATTTTAACTAAACGGCGTGAAAAAGTTTGGATGTGTCCAGCTTTACTTAAATATTATTTTTTAAAAGGTATTAATGCCAGGAAAGTTTTTTCAGAGGTGTACCCATTTTTGTACTGCAGTGTCCTGTCTTTGGGTGGTAAAGTAAACACAAGAGAGATGTCACAGCCTGACATGGAATCTATTTTCACCAAATTAATCTATGAAATATTCTGGTCATAGGAAACTATTATGTGAATTATCAAAATTATCAAAATTATCAAAATTAAATGCTTTTATCCTCCTCGGATGCTAGACGAACACTGATGCATCTATTCAGAGAGAACTGGTTTTAATATGTACGTAGAGTATAGGCGACCGCAATAAACTTTCCTTGAATTAGTACCTTGATTTTTTAGTTCTTCTAAGTATGAGCATGACACTCCCTGGCCTGCCTTCACCCAGCCAATCCATCCAGACTCATTGTTAAAGGTGATTTATACAGGAAGTACGAGGAAAGGAAGGTAACCCATACACGGTCAGCCGCAGTACATTTGAATTTCCGAGCCGGGTCAACTTTTCCGGTCCCTGTTTGTACTGTATCGCCCGGACATTTCGTAAATAAAGCAGACCCTCAATAGGACTAGCCGGTGCAACAAGGTTGACACGGTCAGAGTTTAGTTTAAATTTGCTTTTACTACAGGGTCAGAGGTGCGTGCATACTAAAGGTTTTCTTTCGACCCACAACATGAGATTAAACATAATATTAATGCTATGTTCTTATATTAAGTGCTTAAAAGTTCATTTTGTTAAAAGACTAAACATGAATTCTATCTTAAAGGGTGTCTCAAAAAACATGGGAATTCAGTGACGAATTGGATATCGTCTTTGTTATGAATTAGCATTGTAATACATAATTTCAAAAGCCATAATATTATAATGTCTGCTAGAATTTATTTTATGAAAAGGGTAAAAGACTGCAAAGATGTGTCTATAATGTCTCCGCAAGATGAACAGTGAAGACGTATACTGCAATTTTCTTGTTTTACATTAGTACAACCGTATGCAGTCAAAACATCAACAAACAAAATGTAAACATAGCAGACGATACTCTTACAGATTAGAGCTTTCTCAGTAGGTATCACTATACTAAATCAAAGAATTATTTAAAAAGACGATATCGAATTCGTCACTGAATTCTCATGTTTATTGGGACACCCTGTATATCCCTATTAAATTCAAATTATAAAAGGTATTAAGGTTCCTCTGGGTTATGGTAATTTTTAGATTCGTTGTGCATTTGCTAAATGTGATTTGTTTTAAACTTTGATCCCTGTATATTTGGTATAACGTTGACACAGTTTTATATCAATTTCTCGAGACAGGAACATCAGATAATACTCAAATAGGTCACGATCAACTCCCAAAATGTTTAGGTTTTAACCTACATCACCATTCATTTTACCTTAACAGTCCAGTAATATCAATTAATATATGCAGGAGGCTGAAAATGAGCCCCAGATGTCCAGTAAGAACCTGGCTCTGAAAGTATCATGTGGAAAGTGTAAGAACTCTTTGGGGCATGAGTTTGTTGGGGATGGTCCAGGTGGTAAATCCAGGTAAAACATTAATGCTTTAAAGGGTGTGTTTATTATTAAATAAAAAGTGACGCAGACTGAACCAGGATAGAAATTTTCTAAAACTTCTATCAAGTTTGCATTGTCCCAATTTCCAACGCAATTGGATTTTACTTGCACGCAATTGGGAGCCATTTAATTCCGTGCGAGCATTACAATGAAGATGACTTTCTATTTAAGTTTTGATTTCTTTCAGACTTGCATACAGCAGAAACATATAAATATGTAAACAAAAAGAAGCTGCCAATTAAATGAGAAAATATTCTTTTTTTTCTTACTGTGTTATTAAATTAAATAAAATGATATTAAAAATGTAGTAAAATATTTAGGATAAGGCATATAACCCTGAAAACATTCTGCAACAAAAATATTTTAGTGTTTTAAACAATAATATCCGAATCAATGTATTGAAATTAACAATAATATTTCACAAACCAAGAATATTTTACCTTTTCATAAACTTTGTTTACATGTGTGTTTGTCTCTAGCTGTTTAATAAAGACTCGTTAGAAATCAAAGCTTTAATTAAAAACTCGTCATAATTTTATTAAAATAAACGCCGACAACTGTAATACAAATTGAGCGTTAATTTTTTTTAGATTATAAATTTAAAATTCAATTTTTTTAGATATTTTTAATCATTGAAACCAGTTCTAATTTGGGTAATCCAGTATTATCCGAATTATATCTATAAATGCATAAATATATTAAATTATTCTAGTTACTACTGTGGTAGGCGATTATATAAATATAATGAAGACGACTTTTTTATTTAAGTTTAATTGTTAACAAGCTTTGTTCGAATTTCAAGTTTACAAGTAATTAAAGAGAAACTATTTTGATTGAAAGCTTCTCTTTGTTTCCATGTTTTTGTTCATCCATGCTGTTTAAAAGCTTGATATGAATCAAAATTGGATTCGAATGTCGTCTTCATTATATCGATGTAATCGCCAACCACCGTATATCTCCAGAGTTTTTTCTAGCCATTTCATTAACGGTTAGTTGCAACCGTTAAAAAAATTTCAGTTATCCGTTAATTTTAAAGGTAAGAACGGAACTTTCGTTCCGTTAACGGCATTTTCCGTTTTTTAAATTACCGTTAAATAACGATCTCATTTTTATAAACAGCATTAACAGAAAATATTCAGCAATCCATGGAAAAACTATATTTTTGGCAGACAATTGAATTAAACCATAACATAGTCATATTCTAAGATTTTCAGGTCGTCTTTACAGTCTGATCTTTTGCGGGTAATTCTGTATAAAAGATTATTAATTCAGGTTTTGAATATTCAGCCACTCCCTCAAATTCTTGAAGAAGGAATAAGAAGGAGATTTTCAATTATCGTTGTACTGTACTGCTGCAGTGAGACCTACAGTAATAATCAGAAAGACCCGAAATGAATTGACAGTTAATCTGGCGATCTTACATAAATATCTCTGGCAATTTCAATATCTCAAAAAGGCAGACCACATATTTTGGAAATGGTAGGACTAGGGTTGTTTTGTTATTACTTTTTCATTAATCACATTTGTAAAATCAAATTGTAAAGTCGTCTGATTAATTGTAAATTAATTCCGGGTCTTTCTGATTAGCACGGTATAAAACTGTGGATTATGAAGACGACTTTCAGTTTTGATTTTATATATTCTAATAAACAAATAATACAGCGGCAATTGTGCAAAAGACCCACATCAAGTAACAATTTTATTTTCAATCTGCGCACTATTTGCATAACATCCATAGCAACATCAATTAATCACAAAAAATTGCTTAAATGTCGGCTTTTTATTCCAAAGTTTTATAGGTCCCACTGTAGTCTGTATATGTGTACTTTGTACTACTACTGTTCTATTTCTGGAGAAAAAATGATATTGTTATGTATAGTGTTTGTACAGTGTTCACAATTATGTGGTATTTTATTGTGTTATATTAAATACAATTAACTCTTTTTTTCCATAATGCTTCATGTGTACTTGTTTAAAAATTGCACTGCTACATTTCTACATGATTGTACTACAGAAACGAAATTACACAAACCATGTTGACCTGAAGCCTCATCATCAATCTTAGTTTGTTCACAGAGTTACCAGCGCGCAAAAGTCTAGAAAGTTCCGTATATTTGACTGTAAAGTTCAATCCTTTCTGGTATAAAAAAAACGCTAAATGATTATAAATGTATATCATCACCCTCCTCTTATTTTTGCAGCAACAACCCTTGTCATGTCTGATTTGGATTTGTATACAGGGTTTCCCACAAAGGGACTTCAGAGACGACTCTACGGAATTTTTACGGCATTTTGTTCATATATCCATGTGTTTTGTAACTTGTTTCGTTCTTTGCTAAATTATTAAAGAAGCTGTGTTGAAGGCAACTCCGTGTACATAAATAGAGTAAAATTCTTGCTTTAAAATGAAGCCTTATTGGTCCCGTGCATAGTGCACTCCCTTAAGACTGATGACACGCTGCAAGTGTTTTTTAACAATTTAGTAATTTTGTAGCATACAAAGTTTCTCTTGAATAAATATTAATAAAAAAGATGATTTTTAAAAATTCATTAAAAGTTTTTCCTTTCAAAGAGAACTGCTATGACATACTATTTTAAAACAATGGTTCGACAAAACACGACTAAATGTCAGTTATATATCGACTGTAGTTATGAAGTTGGCATTAGAAACTTTTAAAATTAAAGGGACTGTAATCGCCAATTTCTTATTCATTTAACCATAGGTACAACTATAGGTCGTATCTATCTATCTACACTGCTCTGGTAAGACGTAACCATAGTGTGACTATGGCTCTACCTATGGTAGAGCGTCTAAGAAATTGGCCATAACCGTAATTTAAAGTTACCCTCAATGCAAAAAAGACGATGCCCGACTTACGAGAGGGACTTGAAATTTTGTCTACAGTGCCTTCCAGAGTCCTAATATAACTATTAAAGAGACTGTTTGCGTAATTTTAAAAGACCGTCAATTTATAAAACCTTTAACAGATCATCGAGGACAGAGAACTCTCTGTATATATTTGTTCAATGTTTTCTAAAAAAAAACTGTTAAATTAGCATGACGCTTATGACATCAAATGTATTCCACGCTTATGACATCAAATGTATTCCTAAATAAACTAAATGCGTTGTCAACGCGCGGTTTTAAAAAATTTGAAAGCGAATATTTAGACTTTACCATTTCTATAGAGTAAGGTTATAGTTCCATAAAGGGAGAGACTGCCAGTGTATTGTGTTGAACTGAGAGTTTATTAATGTGGAGAATTTTTTTAGGATTCATTTGAGACACATAAAACGTTTAACGATGTTTAATTACTGAGTTTGAGCGCAAAATTGACATTCAAAAATCATCCATTTGGGTGGTAGTCAGTTTAGAGAATTGATTTTTTTAAAATTGTTCCATAACGATGACGAAAAATGTATTAAAAATTCTCCAGTAAACTAATACGTAAAGTACCCCTCAGCCTTGATCAGGAAAACGTTTAAAGGGAACTCTTGCAAATCGGGGCTGCCGCGCTATGCAATGTCACATTAAATTATGTTTGAGTTAACTGAGTAAAAAATTATTTATTTTGTTTGTTTGCTTTAGAGATTAGGTTTTTTTTTAGTTTGAACACTGACTGAACCCATCCGGGAAATAAATTGTGTAATTTATTTCTCTTGTTATATCTTCCTTTACAGGGAATCTTATAAAACCATAGAAAACCACAAAAATGATTCAATTTGGCGCAAATCAATCAATCATTTTAAAATAAGAAGGGCTTTGTTCACCCAATTTAGAGCAGAATTATGTTTTTAGGATTAATCTATAAAGTCCAGATGTAATCTACATATTCGATAATAAAACTGATGCATTTTGCACAGCATACTTGAACTTTGATACATCTACTAAAAATCATGCTGTAGTTTCGAATTTACAGTATGGAAGATTTAACTATTATATTAAGAATAAATACAATGACCATTGACCATGTTTTTACTAACAAAATATGGAGTGACACCGATTTCATTGGGGTTTTTTTTTAAAGGGACAGACCGGCAATGTAAGGTAGTTAAACTGAGTATACAGTGTTGTTGACAAATTCTTTAGGATTCATTTGAGACATTTAAAACTTTTTAAAGATCTGTAAATCCCGAGTTTGAGGGCAAAGTCGACGTTCAAAATCGTACTTTTTGGGTGGATACGTTTTCGGAATTGTTTATTTTTTAATTATAAAATGTAAACAAAATTTTATAGTAAACTAATTAGTTATTTAGGAACAGGTTGAGAAAATAAAAATTAATCTTATCATCGAAAATAAGTAATCTTATTCAGTTATTAGTTTTTATAGTCTCTGATTATTCACAAATATTTTCTGGAATTTATTGAAAAGACGAAATTTAAAGAATTTGTAGAAATCTGCGAACAAATTCAAAGAAAATAAGAAATTCAATATAATGATGAAAACGAAATAGTTGATTCTAACTTTGATTAATTGACAAATTTCATTTGAGAAATATGTTCCTAAACATAGAATAAGTTTACTGTATAATTTTTGCTTTATTTTTCTTCGTCGTTATTTAATAACTTAAAAAACCGATTCTGAAAAGGTACCCACCCATATTCATGATTTTCAACGTCGGCTAAGCATTAAAACTCAGTAATTATACATTTTAGAAACGTTTTATGTTTCAAATGAATCCTAAAGAATTTGTCCACAACACTGCATACTCAGTTTAACTACCTTACATAGCCGGTCTGTCCCTTTAAATACAATTCAAAAACTAGTCCAAACGCAGTATGACACTTGTAGACAACAGGGGATGAAAACTGCTTTAGGAACAACCAGGACGGCGTTGAAATTGTCTAAATGAGATTTTTGTCGCCCATACAGTGGGTCCCATAAAACTAAAGAAACGGCGGACAACGTTTCAGCCATCTATGTGTAAGTAATGTTGTTAAAAGAGGATAATTTACAAGTAGCTTCAATACCAAATAGTTAAGTGGGTCAATGTACACTGCACGAATGCTGTGTTTCATGCTCATTGCTATTAGTCATTCAAAAATGCTGGCTTGAGTCGTCTTCCTATTCCACAGTTTTAAAACTCCCGCTCTGTTAAGAACCTTTCTAGCATGTTTAATGCTCTAAAAATTTCAATATTTACCATTACAAAATATTACATTTATACAAATTTATTAGAACAACGAAGTAATTTTTATGTAAATCATCAAGTGTGATAAAATAATAACTAATAGTTGCAATAACTGTTTAACTGATGTCAGAAAATAGATAAATCTGAATATATCTTTACACCAGATATAAGAAGAAACCTTGAATAACAGCAAGCAAACTAACAACCTAGCCAGCTAACCAAACAGAGAGCTACCCAAATAACCAACTAGTTAGCTAACCAGCTAACCAAATAACCAGATAGCTAAAAGCTAGCAAGTTAGCAAGCTAAGTAGAAAGCAGTCTAATCAAATAGCAATTTAACCACGAAACCAGCTTACCAGATAGCTAGCTAATCAGCTACCCAGATGGTAAGTTAACTAGCTAGTATGTAGCCTGCTAACTTAACAATGAGCCAGTAAAAAAATATCAGCAAATCAGTTCGCCAGCCAGCCAGCTTTGACGCTAACTTGGGCTACTTAATATTTCTTACTAAAGATTTCTCAATACAATGCACGGAGTTTAAAGGGAAATTAAATTTTTTAGAATCAACGCTTGAGAGATCCAAAGCTTTTAAAGTAAAAATAAAACTTTTTTCAATACATATAATTTTGCTTCAAATTAAATTTTGTTTTAAGAAGAAAAAATTAATAATGAAAGTTGCTTGCTCATCTTTTGAAATATATTTACAAAAAATACACCCCACCCCCCTTCCCAACCCACACATGCAGATTGATACTACTTGACTAAATTCAAGACGGAGAGGGGTAAAATGAAAATTATTCTGTTTTATATTCTGGGTTGAGATTGTGCGGAGACGGGGTGAATGTTTCTCGTTCTCATCACACAACATAAATCCTAGATAAAAATAGTTTTAATATTATATCAAATATTTATGTTAATGTTTAATAAATGATAAAATGCATAAAAAATTGTACGATATGTGTAGCATGTACATTGACCACTATGGGACGTAGATTTTTAAACGACTTTTCTGTAAAATAAAACTTGCCAAAAAAATAAATCTGATAAAATCAAAATCAAAAAAGGTTATAAACGTTATTTTGTAAACCCACTTTAAACAAGTTTCCTGGGTTATTTGAAACGATTTTCAACCTAAATCTAAAGGAGTAGAAAAAGCTATCAAGTTTAAGAAAAACTAAACAGTACTGAACTATATAGAAAAGTATTTTACCAGGGATCTAAGCAAGATAAATGTACATCTTTCTGTCGTGATCTGAGCGCTTCATGTACTCCCTCTCAATGAGACCTTCAATTCTCTTCTTGATAATTAGAGGGGAAGGTTGGAACCTCTTGTTCAGTTGTTCAACAACCTAGAGAAATTACGTTTCATAAGGTACAACACCTGTCATGCCCCGTTTTCGATAAAATTTTGATTTTAAATACTGAACTTGGGGAAGTGTTGTGCTGTGCTGTGTTTCATTGCGTTGCGATGTGTTGCATTGCGTTGCGTTGCGTTGCGTTGCGTTGCGTTTCGNCTATATTTCCACCTATGGAAGGCTGAAATAAAGGATTTATCTATATTTCTACCTATGGAAGGCTGAAATAAAGGATTTATCTATATTTCCACCTATGGAAGGCTGAAATAAAGGATTTATCTATATTTCTACCTATGGAAGGCTGAAATAAAGGATTTATCTATATTTCCACCTATGGAAGGCTGAAATAAAGGATTTATCTATATTTCTACCTATGGAAGGCTGAAATAAAGGATTTATCTATATTTCCACCTATGGAAGGCTGAAATAAAGGATTTATCTATATTTCTACCTATGGAAGGCTGAAATAAAGGATTTATCTATATTTCCACCTATGGAAGGCTGAAATAGAGGATTTAACTATGTTTCTACTTATGGAAGGTGGAGATAAAGGGTTTATCTATATTTCTACCTATGGAAGGTGTAGATAAAGGATCTTAACTATATTTCTACCTAGGGAAGATGTAGATAAAGGATCTTAACTATATTTCTACCTATTCAAGGTGTAGATAAAGGATCTTAACTATATTTCTACCTATGAAAGGTGTAGATAAAGGATCTTAACTTTATTTCTACCTATGGAAGGTGTGATAAAGGATCTAAACTATATTTCTACCTATGGAAGGTGGAGATAAAGGATCTAAACTATATTTCTACCTATGGAAGGTGGAGATAAAGTATCTACACTATATTTCTACCTATCAAGGTGTAGATAAAGGATCTTAACTTTATTTCTACCTATGGAAGGTGTAGATAAAGGATCTTAACTTTATTTCTACCTATGGAAGGTGGAGATAAAGGATCTAAACTATATTTCTATCTATGGAAGGTGGAGATAAAGGATCTTAACTATATTTCTACCTATGGAAGGTGTAGATAAAGGATCTTAACTATATTTCTACCTAGGGAAGATGTAGATAAAGGATCTTAACTATATTTCTACCTATTCAAGGTGTAGATAAAGGATCTAAACTATATTTCTACCTATGGAAGGGGGAGATAAAGAATCTAAACTATATTTCTACCTATGGAATGGTGATGTGAAGGACTCGTTGACTGAGAAGGTGTGTGTGGGTTCGATCTCTTTAGTTTTGGGAGACTTGACAAGGATCCTCTGACTTGGTTTACCAACTGAAAGTGGCTGCAGGGCTCGGGTCAATTCACGGTCAGGGATCAAGGTTTCCTGAATAAAATAATCAATCAATCAATAAATCAATCAATCAATATAAAAATTTTAGTCAGAATATATTTGATCAATTATCAATTTTCTGGTTTTATTTGCATTTATTCAGTAGTCACTAATCAATCAACTTTTCGCAATAAACCTCTAATCATTTTACCAATTATTTGCAATCAAATTAATTACTATTCGAAATCAATCTTTGACTGTAGCCAAGACTGTAATAGGCCAAGTTCTTAAACTAAACCCTAAAAGGGATTACTACCGTGATGTTAAGCTTGGGACTATTTTTAATGATTTCTAGCGTAATTGTGCCATCAACATTTCACAACAAATTTTACACGCTTCCCGCCACCCCTTCACCCTTGTTCTGTGTATTAATGAAAATATTTACCGCCTTAATCTCCTCGTAGGACAACCTCTCCCTAGTGTTAAACATGAGAAGGATCACCATCTGGTAGGTGTTGACACAGAGGATATGTTTCTTCACGTTCCTCTGTGTATCCTGGTCTGTGACCTCATCATCCTCTCCTCCCTTCTTCCCAGAGTAGAATAAAGAGTTTAGGTCTGCAGTTCCAGCACTAGGCTGGAGAGTTAGGATCCTACCACTATGTTTAGCCAAGTAGAAGTTCTTAAACACACCAAACGCCTTAACACAAATTCTTTTAAAATTAATTTACAGCGGCTGAGGTGTACACAGGGGGAAGGGCTATGGAGACTGAGCTCCCCTCCCCCCTGGATCAATGGGCCCCAGTTAACGGAGATGCCATTCGTCAAATCGATATTAAAACAAGCATAATAGTTAAAAAGGTCAATTAAGAGTAATCAATAAAACGCGTTTGTTCATTTAGAGCCCATATTTTAAGCATGTCGGCTTAGAAAAAACAGATCTCATACTTAGTAGAACAATTAGATGTCGAAAAAGATTGAATCAGAGAGAGAACGTTCTATCACTTACAAAAATGTCAATATCGAAAAAGATGGGTTTTGACTAAAAATTTCATTGTTCTGTTATTTTCATTTTGTATTCATCAGGATATTTATCAACAAATTTCTAACAAGATAATTTTTTAAAAGGTCAACACTCAAGCAGACGGTAAACAAAAACTGAATGAGCCTAAAAAGTGGCGCAAAGCATTTATCTACCTGAGCTGGTATCCTAGTAAGGTTGATGGGAGGAGGAGCATTCTGTCCAGGCCAGAAACCTGTAGTTAACACTCGGACACTCAGATCTACTCCGTTCAGACTCTTTTCTACAAATATTAACAATTACAGAGTATCAAAAATAAACCAATCCTGGGATAATATAATCTCTGTAGATGAAGGTACATTAGAATAATAAAGTCCCTTTCGCAAAGAAATCGTAAATGAAAATAAACAGTTTAAAGAAACAAAAACATGGATATCTAATTAATACATGATTAGATGATAAAGGGGTTAAGGGTATCGTTGTTAAATGTAAATTGGGCATCACAGTCTTTGAATGAAGGGCCACTAGAAAATACGCTTACAGTCCAGTTTAATCTTAATTGATTTTACCTGTGTTTGCTAGATGTGTCTTGAACTCCTCGTTAAGAGTATTAGATACAGTCATATCCTTAAACATTCCTTCAAGTTTACTAGTAAACTGACATCCACACTCACTCTTCAGTTTAGATATCATCATTTTCTCAGAATCATCTAAAAAAAATTGAAATTATAAACAATTGTGTGAAAAGTGTGTAAAAAGTTGTAAAAAAAATACAAATTAAATTAAAAAGGATGTAAACGTTCATCAAGAATCAGGACAACAGTTTAAATACATCCTAAATAGTTGGCAATCAGCCCTCTCAATCAATCAAATGTGTTTGAAGCAATTCCAGTTCTGGAGACTAAGACGCCAACGGGGGTTAAGCCCACAAAGCCCCCCCCCCCCGTGTTGTGGCCACAAAATGAACACCCAGGAGGTGCGGCATGATCTGAGTCCTAAACCTACCCAGAAGCACAACCAGAGCTGAACTTCCAGCTATAGAGATTCTAGATGACCCCAACCAAAACTTATTATACACTTGTTTGCTTTCGCTCGGATCATTATATACAAAGTGCCAGCACCCCCCCCCCCAAAAAAAAAAAAACTCTCATGAAATTGACTTTTATTGTTGTACTGAAAGGTAACTAATGAAACTGACTTTTATTATTGTATTGAAAGGTAAAACTCGCATGAAACTGACTTTTATTGCTGTACTGAAAGGTAAAACTCAAGAAACTGACTTGCATTATAGTAATGAAAAGAAAAATTCTACTGAAACTGACTTTTAATACTGTACTGAAAGCTGACTTTAATTATTGAACTGAAAGCTAAAACTCTCATGAAACTGACTTTTCTTATTGTACTGAAAGGTGGTGTGACTAAGACTGACCTGATGCAGATTTCTGGTTGAGAAGTCTACGCGCTAGATGTCTCTTATAATATTCCTCAAATGCATCCTTTTCCTAAAATATTTTTAATATTCAGATCTATGGTCGGAACTTCTGGATGAATATTGTTAATCTTAAACACTTGATCTATATATCCAATCTGGACACTTCTAAATCTAAGAATAAATAATAAATCCTTTGTGACGTTAAAAAGCGTCCCCGCATGAGATAATGCCCGAATAATGTAGCACTTATAAAATTAATTTAAGAAACATCTGCTAAACGTTATTATTTAATTACATCTGTATAATAAAACTAGAAATTTCGTATGTATGTTCCCTATAGCCGACAAAAACATTTTTTGAGGCTAAACAAATTCTAAAATTTGTATTTTTTTAAATCGATTTTTTCCCCTTAATTTTTTTTAATTCCACGGCCCTTCTACTATTAAGGTTATAAATGTAGAAATACTAGAAAAGATGTAAAATACAACATTATGTTTCGAATGTTTTTTTTCTTATAAAGAATTAAAAACCATGTATAAACTTCTAGCAAATGTATAAATTATGTAAACATTAGTCATAAAATGTAAAAGAATCTATTTAAATATTTTGAAATTTGATGAACTGACATTATCTCAAGCCCGGTCCCGGACACTTTTAAACCTGAATAAAAGTTATCCCTACAGACTATAACCTGGACCACCTATTACCTGCAAGAATCTGAAAAGGATCATGGATTTGTCGAGAACCAACTCAACCTCAACATCACTCAATCCCTTCACTCCCTTCTTTAGCTTGTCATCTAGATAAACATTGCAGTGTCCACTATACAGAGCATCTCATATCATATTAGATTATCTCCAAGCTTTAACGACAAAATAAACACATAATACTCATAAAACTTAGCATTTTATGCAACACAATTTCTATAACAGCCTTATTCAACTTTTCAAAATGATTCATTCTTCTTAATTTTTTTGATTAGCCCCGATAATCGTAATTGAGACCGATTGACGATCTAATATGGTGTGGGCCACCCTTTATAAACGTGTTAATATTGAGCACCGAGAAGATATTTATAAAAAAAACCAACCCACCCTCATCAAAAAATTAAACCCCTTTCATTGTTTCAGTTTTTTTCTAGAGCTTTTATTATTGAATTGTTAAAATAAATAGTTTTGGGTAATGGTATCAAAAACAGAATTTTTTTTCCAGTTTTTCATCTTCAATCAACACCGCAATTATCCACAATTTTTCTAAATATTTCCCCCTGATTTGATAAAAACTATATTGTTAACTTTCTAATAATAATTTAAAGATTATTTTATTCCTTAAAAATCCCCCTCCCCCCCTTCTCTCTCCAAACTATGATTGAAAACAAATATTTTTGCATCAATAAACCTGCACTTCAAGATCTGAAAGAATGTGCATTTTGCAAAAATATCTAAACTTCCCTCAAATTTTTCCTCTTTCCCCCCCCCCCCCCCCATTAACCGCTACAGTCCCCAAATTTGTAAGTTTATAAAGGGAATGTTCGCGTAATTTTATGTGACTCTCCAGTCTCCAGGCTCAGATGACAATGACCTATTTACAACAATAACTTAAAATGTCTGATTAAGTATAAATATTTTGTACTTGTTATTTAGTTTTTAAGTGTTACATGAAGTTTTACTTGAAATTACGCTTACAGTCTCTTTAAGTCCTAGGTAGTCAACAATCCACTATTTCGCCTAATGTTTTCTTTATTTAGTTACAATCATGCACCACCATTTTTAAATATCATTTATTTCAATTTTGAAAAAAAAACATTTTTGGAACCTTTTTGATTTCTTGGGACATTAACTATTTGACCTTTTGTAAAGTTAATTACTTACCAATAAACAAGGATAGAAACTCCGGACTTCTTGTGTTAAGATTGAGAAAATATTCAAAATCACCAGATATCACCTGAAATAAAATTTTATTCTCACAAAATTCTCTAGATTCTAAAAATCATTTAGACCTCATTTTTATGCTAAAACTTGATTAAGTATTTAAAGATTATGAAGTTTTAAATACTCCGTCATTAGTCAACAGTTTAGAATTGTGTTTTGACAGGTTTTGGTTCGTATTCTTCGCCTTAGATCAGGATCCGCGGATGCGAATATTTTTAGGGATCCAGAGCCCGCCATTTAAAAAATTAGGGTAAATACGGTTCAGGTCTATGCTGTCGTTGGGCCTTATTTACGGCTTGAGCTTTCGGATTCAAGCAGCATCTTATTTTCAACAAAGTTAAGTTAAAAAAAATGGTTAAATATTCTATTTGGCGGATTTTCATGGTAGGAATTGGCGTATTCCGGGTTTATATGAGAACAAGACTCAACAATGAGCCAATTATTCTCCACTAAAAGCAACAGAGGTCGGTTTTATTTTCATTGTGCCTAACTCCTTAAGTCGAACCGAAGATCTTGCAGCTCTTAATCACGTGACACAAGCTGTCGCCAAAGTTGGGTTGAAGATTGGGTCTTAAAGTCGGGTTTAAGGAATTACGACTCGAGCCGAAGTTTTTAAATCGCAGACTCAGATAGCCTACAAATTGCGGATCCAAAGGAATACGGAATCTAAGCACTAGGTGCTAACCTTTGAATTATGAATTAATGCTATATCAAATAGCTAAGATATAGCTAGGTATCTTAAAATTCGAGTTTGATATGATTGATTGATTCTTTTTTCAAAGATAGGTGTTACAATAAAGTTGCAAACTTGACAAGAAAAGATAAGTTTAAGGATAAAAAATGAGTTGAAATATATGAATGTCTCGTCACCTGTTTGAAATATTTGTCCATGGAGAAGGATTGAGTGAGGAAATCATCAAACCTGTCTTTTAGTTCCAGTAGATTCTAAATACAAGGAGTACAATAAGATGTAAGATAAAAGTTGAAGTTTCTCTTATTGTTTGTCCGATCATAACTCGGAAACCCCTTGACCAATTGGCCACAAATTTGATCGGGGAACTAGGAAGAATCACGGGAATGTTCCCTGTTTGGTTTTTTGATTTAAGTTGATTGGGTCGACTATTATAGCGAAAATTCCGTTTCCCGGGAAAATCACCTAAGTGCGGGTAAACGGCGGGAGCTAGTAACTATGAGTTGAGTAACCTGGGCAGCGCCGGGTTCCCAAGCTAGTAAGGCTATTAAATGCGTCTGTAAGAATGAATAATACAACTAATTTTTTCAGGGGAATGGGCGACTGTGTATCCTCAACAGTCTTAAAAATGTTGTTTAACTATCTGGATGTGAACGAAGAGAATGGTAGAATATTAAGATATAAATGAACCTGAATGTATGTAACGGCGTTAGTTTGTTGACTCTGCTCATCTGTAGCACTGGTTACCAGGGCTTTACCTTCCTCTCGTAAAAACCTTGATATTTCAATTCATTAATATATTATTAGATTAATTCATTAATTCACTAGTTGATAATTCATCAATACACTAGTAGATCATTTCATTAATTATATTAATAGATTAATTCATTAATTAACTAGTCGATTAATTCATCAATTCATCAAAATATTAGTAGAATAATTTATCATTAACTAGACCCACTAGTAGATCATTTCATCAATTCACTAGCAGATAAATTCATCAATTCACTAGTAGATTAATTCATCATTACACTAGTAGCATCAATTCACTAGTTGATCAATTCATCAATTCATCAATTCATGAGTAGATTAATTCATCAATATATTAGTAGATTAATTCATCATTTCACTAGCAGATCATTTCATCAATTCACTAGTAGATCATTTTAATCATTTTAATCATAAACTAATAGATCAATTCATCAATTAACTAGTGGATGAATTCATCAATATATTAGTGAATTAATTTATCATTTCACTGGCAGATCATTTTAACCATTGACTAATAGATCAATTCATCAATATATTAGTAGATCACTTTATCAGTTCACTATTAGATCAATTCATCCATTCACTAGTAGATCAATTCATCCATACACTAGAAGATCAATTCATCCATACACAAGTAGATCAATTCATCAATTCACAAGTAGATCAATTTATCAATTCATTAATATATTAGTAGATCACTTCATCAATTCACTAACAGATTACTTTATCTTCATCAATCTATGAATTCGTTTAACATTTTCATGTCTTAATAAGTTAATCAATTCAATCAATTTAAAAATTCTTCTTTTGTTGAAAATATAAGTTAATCTTCAAGAAATGTTCAATGTTTATGACCTGGATCCGGATCTAGGATCCGGATCGGCATCAAAAGGTTATTGATCTAATGATAATAATACATACTTTGAAACCGCTTCTCCAATAGTTTTATGTCCGTCAGTAACTCGACCAAACAGTTTAAACATGCAAGCCAGGTCTCCCATTCTAATTAATAATAATAACATCAATAATATCATTTAAAAGAGTAATAATAATGATGATAATGTTAATAATAATGATAAAATTGATTATAAGAACTTTTATTAATTTTAATCATAAACCATGAAAAACATTTACGATATATTGAGAGTACTCAATACACATAGAAGCATGAAAGGGGGGGGGATAGGGATGATAAATTAGGAGAATGGAAACTTGTTAAATAAAAGTTTTGTTGGACCTTCAAAATAAACACTAAACCGTATACACAGAAAAGAGTCATGTTATTCTTGAGCATATGAACTACCCCACTACCCTCTGTATACAGTATACACAGACCTGTTATTCTTGAGCATATGAACTACCCCACTACCCTCTGTAGACAGTTTACACAAACCTGTTATTTTTGAGCATATGAACTACCCCACTACCATCCATCTCAACAATAGTTTTCATGTGACGTCTTATCAACTGTTCTTCTACAACCTGAATAATAATAATAATAATAATGATAGTTTCATTGTAAATGATAAAAAACACAAAATGGGTTTATAATGGGTATTGGGTACTATATAGTTTTATTAAGGGGAAGGGAATGATTTTTGATCAAAGAAAAATTGAACATCAAAGGCAATTTTTGTTCAGAGGGGGGGGGGATGATGATTTTTCACGAAAATGTACACCCTGAAATCCAAGTAAGGAATAGTAACCTTAATTGGCTTTTATACCCTCAGTCCACTCGCAACGCAAATATTTTGTTGAGTAAAAAATTACATTTATTTAGAATGAAAACTCCCAAAATCAACAAAAATAACATACGAGAATTTTTCAATAACATAAACTTCTGATTCTTTTAATATTCTTTTTTATTTACCTCAACAATTCTTGGTTCTGTGGTTTCATCAAGATAATGTGTGGCTCTCTCCCCTTCCTCGTTTATTCTAGCCTCAACCTAGATATTTACAGGTACAGGTACAGGTAGAGGTAGAGGTACAGGTACAGGTACAGGTACAGGTACAGGTACAGGTACAGGTACAGGTACAGGTACAGGTACAGGTACAGGAACAGGTACAGTAAAATTAGGGACTATCCGTACCTATTAAAAAAAGCCCCAAAAACTCCGATAAAACCAACTGAAAAAACCACCCTTAAGTGTTTTTTTGGGAGCTTTTATTGGGTTAAATTAGAATTTTTCAAATATTAGCCTTTTCTTCACTCTTATATTGATAAACTCTTTAGGAAATGTGGTCTACTATCAATGATATTGATTATCTGGGAGGTTACAGCACTAAAACTAACGAGTTTAAATTTTTCTTTTTGCGGAAACTTGATTGATCATTTCGAGATGAGTGGAATGGTAACAATTTCACATTTGTGGGATTGAGAGCAAAACGCACCGATGCCATCAAACTAGAGAATTTAAGTAGCTTAACCAACTGTAATTAGCTCAACCTACTGAACCCCCTATTTAAAAATCCCGACCCCTGAATCCTCTATACTGAAGGATAACCAACCTTGTGAATATATGAACTAGCACTGTTCTCCTCCAGGAACTTCTGGCTTTCTATCATATAGAACTCAGCGCTCTGCTTCAAGAAATGACTCTCAAAGTCTTCTTCGTAAACATTTCTGCAAAAATTAAGAAAAATAGAATAGGTTTAAAGGGACTTAACGCGTAATTTCAAGTGACCTTCCATTTAAAGAGGGCCATCCCCTATTCACAACGGCACTTTTAAAACATTTATTCCTGGAAAATTCAGAATGTGTCCAAGGCGGTTTTCTTAATTGAATATTTTCATTCTACGACTTTTAGAAAATAAGTATTAATATTACTTAAATGTAAAACAGCTTGCAAACTAAGTCACCAATAACAAAAATTAGGAAAAGTTTGTGTCATTTTGATCAATTAAAGGTTCAAAGCGCACGAATGTAAATGGAAGTTACTTGAAATTACGCTTACAGTTCCTTTAAGAAAGGGGATAAAAGAGTTCTACATTGGACAATATTCTAGCTGATAAAATTCTTTTCAAATCAACTTTTTATTATTAATTGATGGCCATAAATGGTTCACATCTGTAACCTTAAAAGGGTTGAGCTCGACTGGTTTTTTTAAAGATAGGAAAAGAGGATATCTTTACAATTACAACATAATGATAATTCCAATGGTAGTAGTTAATTGTTAAAAAGAAGGTGGCAAATCAAAAATTCCTGAAACGATCGATTTTAATTTATTTTCCGTTGTCAATCATTTTTGTACAGGGTTACCCTTAGAAGGATTAGACTGTTAAGAAAGCCTAAAAATTTTGAAATTTGACAATTCCGAAGTAAAATTAAACATAAATATATATAAGAAAACAGACTGCATAAATTTTGTACAATCTTCTCTGAAGTCTCATCCTTTGTGGTTAACCGTATAAAATATGAATTTCTGAAACGTGAATATACCTGGTGTCTATCCCGAGCATCATGAGCATCTGACAAGCGTTCTTTATCGCCAACCTGTCAATAATCTCCCCTCTTCTCTCCTTTATTATCATATCCAATAAGGTGACACGAAGATGGTTTCCAATACATCCATACCTAGAAAACAATAGTTATCGCGGTAACCGATCATCCGAACTAAGGACTTTCCGACCTACAATAGGTGACGTTAAAACTTCAAAATGGGATATTTTTCTATTGAAATCCGTAAAAACGCACGGGGGTTAAAACTAAGTTATATATTTTCTTTAAACTACTTGATTATAAAAATAGGAACTAGTAGACGAAAATGATACTTACATTAAACGACCCAAAGTGTATAAAACATTCATACTCAAAATGGTTGTTTGTATGTGCCACAGTTTTATTGCATAAGAATGTAAAAATTTTCCATAGATGAAAAAAATTAGTTCTTACTATTATGAGAAATAGGTGTTATAATTTTTGTCATTTTCCCTAAAGTCAAAGTATCATGTTTCGTAAGCTATCTTAGTTCCACATTTATTTCGGTCTGGGTTGACCCTCTTCAGTTCTTGAGATTTGTTTCTAAGGATTGAAAAACCTTGCTTTAACTGACAATTTTGTCCCTAATTACAAGACCAGAATCCCCCCCTGAGCCCGAGAAGAATGATTTTTGATGAATTTGGAGAAAAAAATGAAAATTTATGCCTCAAACAGCAAGTTTTTTATCCTTTCTGGGGAAAAATAAACTTTCCATAAAACATACCTGACAACTTTGTCCCTGAATATAACTAGACCAAGGTTGTAAACGTTCTCACAATTATTCTGCTGAACGTATACACGATCCATGTACATCAGGATATCACGTATCATCACCATACTCGTCTGATGATCGTTCCACGCCGCGTTCAACGTCTGCAGGAAGTTGTTGTTTAAGGCGGAGAGAACATCGTTACGAATCTAAATAAAGATGTAGTGTTGAAACGATTTGTAAAAAACTAAAAATTGGATATCAACTGGAATTTTTTTTTGGAAATAAAATGAGTTTAGAAAATTGGTGGAATTATTTTTTAATTGGACATTAATGGATGTAAATTTGCGTTAGTTCAGTTATTTTCTACAATTTTTGATGATGGGGGGGGGGGATTACACACCTTGCTCTCTAAATGATTAGTCACGACCTCCCTGAGCCCTGAGTAAAGCCTCTCTCCATGCTTGTGCAGTACCATTGTGTACGCATTCCTGTACAACTCCTCGAAACTTAGTCCGGAGTTGTTCTTCCGCTGGATTTCCTGAAAAGTTAAAATTTCCGTAAGGAGTTTTTTTTTGGCAATTATTGCAAAAAAAAACTACAGATTTTTTCAAACAACCTTCGGAAAAAATATTAAATGACTAAAAAAATATGATATTCTCATAAAAACCTCCTTGAAATTATAATGTTTACTGTTTGTTTTACATACGATTGTTCGTTAAAAATTATGATTAGTGAAATGGTTTTTCATCGTTAAATACAATTTACTTGTAAGATAATTCACCTGAATTGCAGCTTTCAGTAGATTCCAAATGTTTTCGACATACTTTTCATCCATCGTCATAGGAAACGCTCGAATCCGCATTTTTGCTTCTTTCTTCGCCATTGCGCCTCCTGGGAAAACAATTTTATTTGCGAATTTTTTAATCAAGGTTTCGAAGATTTCGTGTTTTTCGTTGGACACAATTTTTAATTTATAATTTTCATAAATAAATACATTTAATTTTCACCTTTCATCATCTTGATTTCCTTTTATTTAAAACAAATGCTGTCTGTTGACATTAGTATTATATCTGAAAAAATTATCAAAGTTGTTTAATGTACGCAACCTTTGAGCCATTTATAAACTTGAGATCATTCGGGAACTTATCACAGCTGTTGTTAAAAAATTCAATACTTTCTCCCATCATTTGTTTGTTTATAAATATTTCATCTGACGCCTGTTGGGAGGGGCCTGATGTAAACACCACCTTGGCCACAATCTCTTTTTCCAAGGTCTCTCCAATAGAACTCCTGTAGCATTCAAGATGTTTATCAACCACCCAAATATGATATTTAGTACCGTTTTCATCAACGCACGTAAAGCGTGGCATAATTTGAGCAGATTCTTCAATCCGTGCGCTCAAAATGCACACAAAGTTGTCCAGAAACGACGACATTTCGGGATTTAATGGAGTTTTATCTTGCGAGGAGACAAACTCCAGAGAGTGGCTGAAAATCTCGAATGTATCTTCTATCTTCTCCCCCAAACAAAGTCCGCATACACATTTTACTTTCAAATCCTGTAAAAGGATGTTATCGTTGTCAAATATTTCTTCACGGAAAACGCAGAGACCGGGTCCAAAAAGTATATCTGACGCTTTAAAAGATATATCCGGGGGTGCGTCAAGTTTGTTTACGCAACAAAACCAGTTTTGTGTTTGTTGTCGCCAGGAAGAGGATGGTAGGGGTAGAATTCTTTCCGGTTTCATTCTATGATTTTAGATTCGTTTTACTTAAAATATTTTAAAGTCTACAAAACATTGAAATGTATCTATGCAATTCTAAATTATAATTTTTTGTGTCAAGACATTTCTGTTAATATCCTGAAAAAACGTGCAATTATTAAAAGAATGTTCCTAAAAAACTTAACTCTGGTTGCAGAGCTCGACCCATTTGGCAATACATCTTCGGCAATGACAGACTTTTTCATAAAGAAATAAGAATTGTATCGCCACATTCAGAATATAAACAAGAGGAAAAGCTTTATTTTAACTCAAATCAAATATAATAATGTAAAATCAGAATATTTCCTTCCAAGAATACTAGAGCATGAACGGCACTGAATTGAGTAGTCCTCCTTCAAACGCAGCTTAGGAGCTTGAGCCTTCAAAACCGATCTGAAAAAATCCGACATATAAACTGGTTTGAAATTAATTTTTAAACCCTTTGATTCACCACAGTAAGGAATACAAAATTTGCACTCTGCAGTTAACTCTACATAAAATAATTAAACACTCTCTGAGGAAAAGGGAACCATGTTAATCAAATCTTAGATTATAGAAAATCTTTAAATTAGATAGATAGATTGGAAAAACCAATATTTTATTTGGTAATTATTTGTGTATGATATCAGTGTTCTCATATTCAAATTTTTATATCTTCAAAACTTTCAGATTAAGAATTCTACGGGATTAATTTATTCCTAAATTTAATTATGAAGTAGCAAATAAGAAAAGGAATAAAAAATATCGAGTCATATTACTTTGTTATGCTACGTGTCATTGTTACCTGGGCACAAAGTCCGGCGTAGCAATCATCTCAATGTTTATTCTGTCTCCAATCTCCAGCCCAGCCATTAGTTCAACGCGGAACCATAAACTATCCTGGCCGGCCGCCGGTTTCAACCTCATGGACGTTTCCTTGAACCTCAATTCAGGCGAAGAGAACTTTGTTTGATTGATCTTCAAATCATGGTCTTCAGCTGTGATTACAAGGAATTCATTTTGATTTGTCCCAAAAAGAACAATATTGGCGACATTGAGCCGGCGCCGAACTTTTATAAAAACATCCATTTTATGACGGTTTTCAGATCATAAATTATAAATAATTATAAATCAGAAACAAAACTGGGATTTATTTCTAGAAATAAATCAATAAAATTATAGATAAAATTATAATTAAATCAGAAAGATCACTGGATAAATAAGACTCTAATTATTGCAGAGGGAAAACTAAATTTGAAGATAGAATAGAAATTAGAGACTCAAGAGAGCGAGAAAAATGATCATTGAAACAGTAAACCAGTAAAACCCATTCTGATGTTCTGAAAAGAAACAAAAAAGTAAATAAAGAAACAAACAAAACAGTTTAACCCTGTGAAAACCAAATAATTTTTTTTTTATAAATTATTAAAACAACCTCTTTTAAATCTTGATAGCAGGTATAAATAGAGAATTGAGGACAAAAAATAAAAAAGTAAAGGTTAAACACTTAACACACAAAACCCACAGGCCTAAGATTTCGACAAGATGTAGAACTAGGTGATCATTTTAGTCGTCTTTGTTTTATGTTCAAAAAATTTATTAAAAAAAAAAGTAAACAGTTTTGATGTATTATAAAAAAATGGCACATAAAATATTTTTTATTGTTTTTTTTTAATAAAAAAATTGGATTTAAGAATACGACGCGGCAATCGACCATGGCTCAATAGTCATTTTGACTTCTGAACGTTTTTGATCTACAATTACAAAATTTCAATGGAATAGCCAAACCAGTCTTTATTTAGTTCAAAATTTTGGTTTCAAGCTCATGCTAGTTTAAAAGTAGTTTTTCATGCCGTTTAAATATTAAAGTTAAATGCTTTTTAGGTATAAACGTTACATAATAAGACAAGTTCTTATTTAATGTTTTTTTTTAAAAGATAAAACTGTTGAGAAACCAAGAAAAAGTGAAAGAAGAAAGATGACTGGGGGTGCAGGTTTCTTGCGGCCGAAGGTTATATTTAACATGATTAAAGACAAGGGGTCTGTCCTAGTATAAGATTTTTAATTAATTGAATTGTAATATAAAATAATATCTGTATGTATTCAGGATGATGACGATGATGATTACTCGTTTAAGATTGATCGTCAGGATATCCTTCAAACCTCTCAAACCACATTTATCTACAATCAAAACCCAGGGATGGATCATATAATATTTTGATTTTTCAGGGGTGTGTATTTTCTCAAAAAATAATTCCCCCCCTTTAGAAAATCATTTCTTTTCTCCCAAAAGTTATTAAGGATTTTATTCGCTGAATTAGGGAAAATTAATTATATTTAGAGAATAAATTAATGAATTCTTGTGTAAATTAAATCATAAAGTAGGAAAATAGTTGCCTTTTATTGTCTAATTATAGCCTCAAAATTTTTTTCTTCAGAATTATCTTCTTAAGTTGGGGGGTGTATGTAATTCATATTAAGACACACCCCTGGATAGTTATAACAGGTTTTATATATATTATGCAATAGTAAATTCAAGTATCACTTAATCAAAAATTTTCCATTTGTGCTATTTCGTCCGAAAAGAAAGTTTCAATCGTTTTCTTCCGTTTTCAAACATTTAACAAAAATATGTAAAGTGTTACGTGTCTAAGATGAAGAAATGGATTTAAAGTCAGAACTTTTGTATTGTATGAAGATTACGGATTAATCCAATTCTTCTTCAATATCCTCAAGATTAAAAGGGCCAACAGACAGGCGTCCAAGAAAAAAGATGCACCATATAAAAGTAGTCTGTCCTAGTGAACGATGTCCCCCTCATATCAATTTTGTACATGACCAAATTAGTATTTATTTAGTATTATTTAGGGTTAGGTTAGTTAAGACACTTTCTGGGCCGAGCGCTGCGGCCACATGGTCAAGTATATCAATGTCTGACGTATTAGATCCATGTAAAAAACTGATAGGAGGGGGGGGGGGGGGGGGGGGGGGCAAAAATCGTTCTCTAGGAATTTACCTATAAAAGTTCCAACCTTGAAACAATTTTTCGACTAGTTCGTTAAATTGAAAATTAGAATTTTATTCGTGTTGGTATTTATGCAAACTTCAAGAGATTACAAATATGTTGGATATTGTAGATTTTGTGAAACCTTTATTAAGCCAAAAATAATTTGAAAGTTATAAACAATTCCCCTATACTCCTCAAAATTTATTGGCAGAATTCTTCAATTTTGTTATATTTTCTGTTCCTAGGATTACATCTTGATGCTCAGAGACAGAAACTTCCTGTCTACAAAACAAAACATTCCCTTTTCTATCTTCTAGAAAAACACCAGGTTAGAGCCAAACTTTTTTTTTGGTTTAAAGGGACTGTAGAGTGTAAACCTAATTTCATCGTCTGATTCACAACAGTACTCTTCAAACAATGGTTTTGAGCAATAATGATGAGGATATTCTTATTTTTCTATTTGTGCAGGATTTCTTTAAAAGTGATTTGCGGATTCATGCAATATACATCTTGGATAAAGAAGGAAATAGCTCACAAAAAGATTTTCAGAGGACCGTTGTTAATCGGGCCTGCAGCTTTTCCAATTGGAGTTCACTTGCTCCTTTAAACAATTAGTCTCTCTGATTTTATGTTCTTCTGCTCAATCTTATCTTCATTCTCAGTGCTCCAGTTGGAGCTTTATATTTCACTTTATTAAGGAGGTATTTTTAAAAAATTCAAGCTGAAAATAGTAGAGTAAAAAGAAAAAGAGAATAATCAATAATGAGACATTACCTTCAGGAGTGAATAAAATTTTTAAGAAATGTGCTTGGGGGTGGGGGTGGGGGTAGGGAAATGGGAATGATATATAAAGTAAAAATATATACACTTCAAACGGGGTTTAACTTGAAAACTTTTAAAAAACATTTTATTTCATACATTTTAGTACGTTCGACGCAACATGTATTAAATTCAAATTTATAGTTTCTGAAATAATGTAATGAATATACAATAAAAAGCATATTTTTATGAGGAGATATCAATAATACGTAGAATTAGTACTAGATTAAATTGGAATTCAATTAAATGAGGCTGTATAAGGATTATATGGAAGGGAGGGGTCTGAATAAAGTGGGGCTGTCGTCATTTCTGATTTCAAGTACTATGAAAGAAATAATTGGGTATTATTTTATTGTTGTTGTTCTGTTTAAAAGATTGTTCTGTGAAAAAGGTTAAAGGGACTGTAGAGTGTAGACTGTGGTAAAGTGTGAACACGTAATTTTAATGCCCAGTTTTCTACGGCACCCTGTAAACCTTCGTCTACGCATATAAATGATGAAGACACGCTCTAGAATTGATGTCAAAATGTAATTTGTTTTCTACAAGTGAATTGCTGATTTATAGACATTAAGCAATAGAAACAATGAAGGAAGTTGCTCAATGCTATTCAGACCAAGGTTTAAGATTACGGTTTAAATTGTTAGTGAAATGTCGTTTAAAATAATGTCGACAGTCCCTTTAAGTAGATAAGAGATGTATAGTAGAAGATTATTTAAGAATATTGACAAAAACATGTTTTTGTATTGAAGGTTTGACAGCGATTATTATTATTATTATTATTATTCTGAAATTCTGAAATACGTGGTAATAAAAATTATAAAAGTCAGAACTTTTGTGTCGGGATTCTCGGGATCATGTATTTATCTCCATATTATGCAGATCCTACGGATTCTACGGATTAATTTAATTCCTCTTCGGTAACCGGTGATGATCATCATTCCATGCAGGCAGCGTTCACACTCAAGTTTACAAAGGGGGAGTGGAGGGGACATAGAAAGTCTAGGATTATACAATTTTAATAATTGATGGGAGGGGGGGGTAATTCTTGTAAATATTCCTTGACATCTGTCCTGATCTCTATTTACAATAGACAAGTTGTTCGTCTGAATAAAGTGTCTAATGTGTTTACCATTTCAAGGGGGGGTGATTTTTGATAATCTGGGGGAAAAATGATAAATTGGAAATCAAAAGGAAAGGTTTTTTCATCCTTTTGATTCTTTTGATACGTGTTCTTTTTTGATATTTTTTCATAAAAAAATATTTATTTTCCACTAAAACTAGCTTTTTTTTCTCGCCTAATTCTGCGAAGAGTAAGTTTTTTAATGTTGTTTTCAGATTTTTGTTGTTTAGAGGTAGTTTCTGAACGTTGTTTTTACAGGTTGTTGTTTTTGTTGTTTAGAGAGGTAGTTTTTGTATTGTTGTTTACAGGTTGTTGTTGTTGTTGGAGAAACAGGTTGTGGGAAGTCAACCCAACTGCCACAGTACATTCTTGAGGCTGGATACACAAATGCGGGAAAGGTAATAACATTTTATCCCCCTCCCTCCTGCCTCACCTCCCAACAAAATATATAATAAGTGTCTCTAGAAATAATCGGAAGAAATTGTTTTAAGTAAAAGTGGCGTAAAAGAAATGGTTATTAGGCAGTTTAATGTAAATGCCTGCATAATCTTCTCGTTCTGAAAATCCTGTAATTAATTTGAAAAAAATATTCTATTCAATATTCTTTGTTCGAAAGAAGGCTTGGTAGAAGGCTTAGATCACGTGTCATGCACAAATTTTCTAACATAAATTCATTGTTATCGTAATTTCAAGTGACCCTTCATGCAAAGATGGCAATTCACGATTTACAATGGTACCCTTAAAAGCTTTGTCTGATCAAGTATGAATTAGATATCCATGATTTTGTTTCTTTAAACTGCTTATTTTCACTTGTGGTTTCCCTGCAAAAGTTACTTGTGCATTTCTTGCTTATGAGGAACATGGGAAAAATTCACACTTTTCGAGACAGAAAAATTAACGTTACCTTCTACATTTTTGATGAGATAAAGGCTTGAAGGGTGCTGGGCATTGCTACCATTGCGTGGAGGGTCAGCTAAAATTCCGCATACTGCAGTCCCTTTCAATACAAATGCTGTGACATTCCAAGTTTTTTTATTAGAAAAATATATTGACAGAATTCAGTATAATTTAAATGTCAAAATGATTTTTAATTTTTTTGTACCGGCGGCCATTTCGTCCATTCGAAGTTTTGTAAGATATCCCAATTTGGTCGTAATATTAAAGATTACATTTGAATATTTTAATTTTATTTTTGGCAATTTGAAACTTCTTACAATTAATTTTCGGTTTGTTATTGATTAAGGAAATAAAAAAAGATCTACAAGGAAAACCGAAGATTAGTTTGTTAATTTTTTTCATTAATATTTTTTCGAGAAACTCTAAGATGGCCATTCTAGGTAATAATGTCAGAGGGGTTTTAAACAATCAACTGAGAGTTAAAAAGTTATAATGTGACTTGCCGAGGTTTTTGTCACTGACTCTGGATGTGCAGATCTGCAGAACGATTATAGACATCTTAGATGCATTAGGGTTGATAGACTTAAGCCCAAAAACTTCCTAAAGAAATATCTGTGTCCTATACATTTATGGTAGTGTAAAATATAAATAATTTGTAAATGTTCATTTTTCAAAAGAAAGCTTGCGCGGAGGCCTATATCATGTGTCATACACTTTTCAAGCAGGAATCCATTTGAAAATGGTGTGACATTCGTCATTTTTTTTTAGAAAAACATAAGTATTCAGCTTAATTTTAATGCCTACATAATTTTTGAATTTGCTTGAAAATTATTTAACTAATGTAAATTATAGATGTTCATTGTACGAAGGCAGGGTTTAAAGAAATAATACTGTTTTATGCACTTTTCAAAGAGGAATTCATTTAATAATTGTGCTGTGACATTCGTAGTTTTTTGGGGACGAAAAGTAAGACACGAGAAAGGTAGTAGTCAGCTTAATTGAAAAAAACCCAGATTTTTTGTTATATTTTTGAAAATCGTTCAAAAAGCGTAGATGTTCATTCTTACCTGTGGTGAGACCCATAAAACTGTGAAATATGAAGACAACATTAAAGTAATCTTGTGTGTATATGACGTTTTCATATACGCACTGTCACTAAGAATGTAAAATTTTGCTGGAGGAAATCGATTCCAATTTCTCAGAAAAGTATGAGACCTGTTCTGTATCTACCCAATAAAAATTTGAGGCAAATCAGTTCATAATCATAAATTAGACAGCCAAGCAAACTTAACAGGCAGACAGAAACCATTTTATATATATATATACCTAAATTATGATTACGATTTATTTAGATTTGACGAGAATTTTTCCCGCGAGCACACTAAGATAAAATTTATGACAGAGGGAATTCTGATCAGGGATCAAACTGATGTTGAAAAAAAGATATGATTATTAGTTATTGATTTTATTTCTGGGTTAAGGCTTTTTCTTCGTCAAGCTGTTTTATTGGATGATTAATTGATTGAGTTATTAACAACTTTGTTAATTCATTGATTATTTGCTTTGTTGATTGATTCCTTATTAAGATGTTTTCCTTTTATGTTAATGAGGCTGAGCAGTGAGCATTTTTACGGAGTAGAAATAAAATTAACTTATTCGTTAAAGGGATCTTCTATTTTTCCCTTGATAGCTTGGAACTAAGTAAATTCTCTTGTTGATTGATTAATTGATCAAGTCATCCTTTCGTTCATCAATTCTTTAATTCCTAATTCATTGATTAATTAAATGTTAGGTTGTTAGGTTTGTTGGTTGGTTGCTTGCTCGATGATTGATTGATTTATTTATTCACTGATATTCCATGTGTTTGATCCGACAGAGAATTGATGGGAGATCCTCTACTCAATGCGTATTCAGTTCTAATACTGGACGAGGTACAACTCTTGTATTTTTAAATATGTTTTATGATAACCCTCCAAATACCTGGTTCGCGATCTTCAATAGAGCACAAATAAAGGGAAACATTTTTCTTATTTCTCGCGGATTTATACAACAGTCACAAGAAAAGAAATTAAAAAATTTATTCTTTTTAAGTAAAAAAAACGATACTTTCTTTTCAATGTTACCCAGACAATAGTTTATGCCAATTTTACAACGACGTAATTTCATTTAAAACTCTAGTTTAAGAGTTTGAAATTAAAGGTTTTAAACATTTTTCTGAACAAAACTTTTGAAGTTATTCTTATTTTCTAGTTATAAATTGATCATTTTTACGGCGGATTCTCTGCTTAAGTGGCGCCAGTCACTTTCTTAGAGAAACCCCAAATGAAAATAAACAATTTTAAATTAACAAAAACGTGGATATCTAAATTTTACAAGATCAGACAGAGTTTTAAATGGACCGCTGTAAATCTGACAATGCCATCTTTGCATAGAGGGTCACAATTGAAATTAAGCTTACTGTCCCTTTAAACTGAGGGACCCATGCAATTACATCGACAGTCCCTTTAAGCTTAAATATTATCAATTAAACTTATTATTATCTAGGTACATGAGAGAACTGCACAAATAGATATTATAATGGGACTACTGAAGAAAGTTTTAAAAAGGTGAAATTCATTTTTTTTAATTGAAAAATTCTTAGATCACGTTTGCAACTTAATTTATTTTGAAAATTAAAAAAAATAATTTTTAAAAATTTTTTTAATAAATAATTTTTGATCTGATGAAATATGAATTCGCAATATAAGTGACCCTCCATCCAAAAGGTGATTTAAATTCTGTCAAATTTTTTGAAAAATTCTATTATGTTTGCAACTTGATTTCAAAAGAAAAAAAAATTTATTTAAATTTATTTATTTACCCCTCTTATTAAAATTTATTTAAATTTTTTTAATAAATTATTTTCAATTCGCAATTTAAGTGACCCTCCATTTAAAGAGTGTCTGGCTTGATTCACATCGGCTTTCTTTGAACAGTTGTCTGAGAAAAAATTAATAAATTTCAACGCTGGGTTTATTTATATATGAATTAAGCATACGTGCAACTTTTTAGATAGAGGAGCACTTAAAATTATGACTATAATTCTATCATGACCGACTTATTTATTTATTTTTTATTTTAATTTTTATTTAATTTAGACGTCGTGACCTGAAACTTGTGATATCTTCTGCAACAGTGGATGCTGAATACATTAGGGACTTTCAAATTTTAGAAATTCAGAACGCCGCGCACTACTCTTTGATCTCTTTCGTCTCATCTTTCATTATTCTATTCAACATCAAAATTATTTTTGAAAGTTATCATTTTTTTTGAAAAATACATCTGAGTGTATTAGTGATGTTTAAATTTTATATATCTTTAAATTCTTGACGCCGCGCAAACTTCTTTTAAACTCGTACAATTTGTCTCATCTTTCTTTATTTGAAAATTAATTCTCATTTTGTTTTTTATAAATACATCCGATTATATTAGCGATGTACAAATTTTAAATAAATTGAAATTCTTGACGCCGCACACCCCACTTAAACTTGACAGTTTTTCTTATCTTTCTTTATTTAATTCAACATTAAAACTATTTTTCATTTTGCTTTTAAAATTAATTTAACATTAAAACTAATTTTCATTTGTTTATAAAAATACATTTAAATATATAAGAGATGTTTTCATTCTAGAAACTTTCAAACTTATACAATTTTTCTCACATTTCTTAATTTAATTTAACATTGAAACTATTTTTCTTATTTAAAATTACATTTGAAGATATTTAGGGATGTTCAAATTTTAGATACATTGAAATTCAGGACGCCGTGCACCCCTCTTATTAATGCGTTCAATGTGTTTCTTCTTTCCTAAGTTTAACATTAAGATTATTTCTATATTATTGATGGTAACATTTTATACAGTTTCAAATTCAAGGCTACGTGCATCACTCTTTATAACTTGCTTTTTTCTCATCTTTCTTCATTGAATTTTTTCATTTTGTTTTTGATATTCAGAAATTGAGTCCATCGTTAGTTTGAAAATACAATAAAAAACGTCTCAAGACTTTATTTAGTATTTTCAATCTCTTCATCCTGATCAACCGAAATCTTGTTTTGATTAATTTTTCAAAACATTGAAAACATTTCTTTTGAAATCCTAAAAGGTAAATATAAAATTAATTTTGAACTGTTATGAAGAGATTTCTTTAACCGGGGAGCAGAGAAGAAAACCCGGCAACTGGCGACCATCCTCTCCGTCGAAGGGCGAAGTTATTCCGTCGATGTTTTTTACTTAACCAGGTAAATGTTTTTAAATTTATTTAATCTTAAAAATTCATCAGTTTTTCGCTATTGAGAATTGTGTCACAGTTCTGCAAGGACATGAAAATGACTCTCTCAACATCTAAGACATACATTCTGACAAACTCAAGGAATCAGGGCTTCTGGAAGGTGGAGGAGGAAACAATTGAAGAAATTCTGATTGCCAAGTATTTGGGAGTCAGCATACAAGTCCGAGGCAGATCAATGGTAGGGAAGTACGAATCAGATGTCATCAGAAGAGCAACAAACTGTGCGTTCTCAATAATGAACCTGACCAGAGGGTCAATGGATAGATCACTGGTTGCCAGACGACTATGGGAGGCTTGTGCCATCCCATCAATACTTTTTTGCTCGGAAGCAATGGTGTTCACCAGGAAAACGTTGGCGGAGCTGGAACGAATACAGTGTATGGTGGGTCGTTTCATCCTCCAGGTTCCTGCATCCACCTCAAGGGTTTTGGTTTGGTGTGATGCAGGTTTAATGCCCATGGAGCACAGGATCCAATGTAGACAGGCACTACTAATCTGGAATATCTGCAAGGAAAAGAACAACGACAAGTTGTTAGCAGTCCTAAGGCACCTTCTGGATGCTCAAGGTGATCCATGGGTTAAGTCATGGATGAAAATTCAGAGGGACATTGGGTTGATAATGGAGTACGAGAGAAAGCATGTGTTGGTAAAAGCAATGGCAGACAGGGCTGTGAAGTTCGTCATCAGTGTCTTGCGTACACAGCCAACCATGGCCACCCTCCCGCAACCATGGATTTGGTTCAAACCCCAGCCCCATGTAACTGACAGTAAGGCCAGCAAAACCATGAACATGGTGCGGGGTGGTAATGCCCTGTTGGGAAATCGGTATAAGAACAGATATGGAGCTAGACACGTATGGTGTCCCCTTTGTAAGGTCATGGGTGTCAGAGTTAAGCTGACTGAGTCCCATGTTATATTGTCATGTCCAGCATTATGCTCGTTACGGCTCAAGCTCAAGATCACTATGTTTAGAACAAAGGCTAAGCTTAAAGGTTTACGCTCGAACTGTGAGATCCTTAAGGCCTATCTTGGGGGGGATGGAAGTGGTAAAGCTGAGTTAATTGATAGAGGGCGGAAAATGGCTGTTATTCTGGAGGCATGGCTGTCTGCTTCAGAACCGTATGGACAGGAGAATGTTCTCTGAGATGATCGGTAATAAGTAATTATAGTAATCTCATAAATGTCTTGTTGATTCTTCAGCTAATGGAGTACCTTCTGAGGCATCTGGCATTAGCAGTACTTAAAATAATACTGTATTATCATTTTCATGAAAGGTACCGACAGGACCTTCATGCAACTGGTAAGTGTGCAGAGGGTTTGTGGCAGTACGCCATTAAACTTGACCCATGCTTGGTGGTACACACTTTGGCCTGTGTGGCCAACCATCAATGACACCCCGCTACTCCCTTTGGGGATGGTGCGGTGATGTGGGCTCTTCCCAAAACTCTCTTCGGACAGATGGGTGACTGTTTTATTTATTTATTAATGCACTAAATATAATGTACGACCAATTGCGTATATATTATAAAAATGAGTGTGCTGTTTTCAAAGGCTTACTTTTTAATCATTTTATCATTTTATCATTTTATCATTTTATCATTATTATTATTAATGTTCAGATAAAAGATTATTGGTGGGAGTAACAGTTGGGTCGGATAAAAAAGCAAAACCTTTTCTAACACAAGCAAAGAAAATTTATTTCGTCAGGTAAAAGTTTTATAGTCAGTTTTTCCAGCTTTAAAATAAATCTGAATTGAATCTATTTCAGAATTAGAATTTTGAGTTAATTAGTTTGTATTAAAAAGTTAATCATTATCATTTCCAAATTTTATTTCATTTTAATAAAAGAAGCCGGCTGGCATTTAGAATAACCATTAAAGGGACTGTAAGCGTAATATCAAGTGACCCTCTGTGGAAAGATGGTCACTTAATGCTCAAGTTTTTTTTGCAGAGAAACCACAAATGAAAATAAACGGTTTAAATAAACAAAATCATGGATATCTTATCCATACAGGATCTGATAAAGCTTTTAAAGGCATCGTTGTGAATCAAACATTGCAATACTTGCATGGAGTGTCAGATTAAATTTACTTTTACAGTCCCTTTAAATTAACAAAGGATTGATAAAATATATATTTTCGTTTGTTTTAAGTGAGGAATTTCCTGAACTGCCTGATTGCAAGCTATCCAACCAGACTAGATATAAAGTACCTAAACTTCCAAACCTCACTCAAAGGAATCTTTTCAAAATTTGTTATTTACTTTCTAATTTTATGCTTGTTCTAGTGACAGGAAAACCTCCTAAACCAGTATAATATTTGTTAGGATGCAAGGATAGTTAAAAATAGATACTTTTTCTGAGACAATTAATAGAATTTTGGCTTAAAGAAAGCAAACCCCTACCAGTATAAATCCAATGTCGCAAATCAGTTTGAGATTATAGATAACGTTCATTAATCAACTGTAATGGAAAGGATTGAAGATACCATTCTACCATTCTTGCAGATCTCATCTCACATAATAAGTTGTTTAATGTAAAAAGATGGTTGTATGAAAAGAGATCGTTTTATTATAACTGATCGTTTAATAAGAATACTTTTAAAAAGAAGTGATCGTTCAAAGAGAAGAGATAGCTTTATGAGAAGAGATTGTTTTATGAGAAGCGATTGTTTTATGAGAAGATCCCGTTCTATAAGACGAGATTGTTACATGAGAAGATACCGTTTTATAAGATGATATCGTTTCACGAGAAGAGATCGTTTAATAAGAAGAAATCGTTTAATAAGAGGAGATCCCGTTTTATACAAAGATATCGTTTAATAAGAAGATGTAGTTAAATAAAACGAGAATGAGTTTAAATCATTCCGTGCATTAAAAAGTTCCTTGCTTTGTAAAACTTTCCATTAATTAAATATTTGCGTTAATAAGGTTTTAAAAAACATTAAAACTTCGAAAAATTTCTTCTTAAAAAAAATTAAATTTTGCTCAACTTCATACAAAAATTTAAGTTTAAATTAAGTTTGGAAGAAACTTATTTGTTACTTTTCACAGAATAAATATTAAATATCTAAATATATTATTGAACAAAGTTTTATTCATAAATCTATTAAATTATTAAATTAAAATTAAAAATGTGATATTTTCAATAATATCCCTAAAAGGTCATTGAAGACGATTAAATATAAACATTAACATTTATTTCCAAATTTTTCAATTTGATTTTCAAATGTTATTGCTATTATTAATGATATCATGATAATAATAAAAGGCAGTGTTGAACCAAAAGAGTTTTAATTCACATGTTCACAATAAATCCGCTAAAATTACACATTGAAAATGATTTTATTTGATTATCTACTGTTTTCAAGCTTTAAAACTTTTACTATTTGTGTAGAAAGTAAATTTAACAAATTTGAAAAATTAGGCATCCTATTTACGGAGCTGAATATGTGCAGAACTTAAAGCGCAGCAGACCATCTGTATTTGATGAGACCGTGGACCAAGACCAGGCCCCCAAGAAGAAAAAGAAGAAGAAGTCTAAAAAGCAGGATGAATAGATTTTTTTATACTTTCAGACAAAATGGTTCAAATCTCAGGTTCAGATCTGGCGCAGTTGGAGCCGAAGCTTCATAAGATATTCAAGAGTCAACTCGGGTTCTTCGAGGAGGAGATGCTCTCCAACACACTCAGTATGATCTATCAGGTAGTGATGTGGTTTTAGTTGGTTCGTTTTTTCACAAACTTTCTTTCAGGATTAAAATTTTTCCTAATGTAAGAGTAGCAAATGTTCTCAAAATGTTGAATTCTAAACATTTACCTGTCTTAAACTATGTCAAATTTTGACCCTGGCAGAAGATATAGGCTAAAACGATGCAGAAACAACGCGAAAACGAACTTGTCTTAACTATCGTTTTTGATCGTTTTTGGATCGTTTTTGGATCGTTTTGGATCGTTTTTGAATCGTTTTTGAATCGTTTTTGAATAGTTTTTCTAGGTAAAGCTAAATAAAATTGAAATCTTTGAATTTTTATTGAATTTTTTCTGAGTTTAATGCTATCTCATTCAAAAGTTGAAACCTCATAAACCTACTATTTAAACTACAATTACCACCACAAATATTTCGTAAGTATTTGTTTAAAAACTGAAATTTAAATATTTAGAAATGACAAGTCTTTATATTTAACGAATAACTGTACTAAAGGGAGTAGGTAAAGAGGAGCTGGAGAATCAACTCTCCGACATGCTGGACGTGAAGAAGGCGGCCAAGTTGGCCGATGAGGTAGACCTTACACTTACATTTCATTTTGATGATTACTTGACTAGTGACTGGTTCTGATAAAGTACGGTCAATTCTTCAGTTTTGGTAAATATTAGTAGAACTTCCCTAAAGATTTGGTTTGATTTGATTTGATGTGATTTGATTTGATTTGATTTGATTTGATTTGATTTGATTTGATTTGATTTATATATAGTTAAATATATAGTTAAATTGTTAAAGAGGTATTGTTATTTTGAAAACTTTGTTCTACATAATGCATCATTTTTAAAGATTTGGAGTTTTATGGAGGAGTATAGTCTGATCAAAGAGGAATCTGGGGAGGGGACAATCCTCGGTAAACGGTCTAGAGAAAGAACACAGGTGAGGATAAAAAACATACAGTGTGACTAATAAACTATGGAATGGAAAGACTACTGTTATTTACGAGATCAATTAGTTCAATGAACATGACAGATTGCAATCTAAATATTTACGAGATCAATAAGTTCAATGAACTTGACAGATTGCAATCTAAATAAAGAAGTTAATTTTAACACTACTGGTAAAATTATTTGCTTTATAATAACATCAAATACACAAGATGGTTAAAATGTCGTCTTCCTACTCCACAGCTTTATGGGTCCCTTTTTACAACTTCTACGTTTTTAGACGTCTTTTTTTGTAAACATACTTCAGATTTTACTGAGAATAGTCTTTTTGATTTAATTTCATAACATTTTACTTCTTTTGAAGAATCGTGAAAAAAATATAAATTAAGAAAAATAAATCTGTATTTTACAACAGGAGGAAGATGACTATACAGAGAGTAATAAGAGGAAGAAATATACAGAAAAGTAAGAGAACAATATTTATTTGCTGGGATATATTTTTGTTTCAATTATGGGGCTATTTTTCAAAATAATTATGAAACCGCAGTGACTGTCGTTCTGTGGAAAAAGGGGGAAAAATGTAGCTCAAGTCAAACTTTTCTTTAAAAACTAGAATGAACAAGAACTATCAATTTTTAAGTTTATAGTTTAAGATTATTAGATAGTACTTTTTTGTAGTTAGTCTACTTTTTTGATACTTCAAGGGAGTGTTCGCGAAAAACGAAAAAGGGTATGGGCTGATGTTGAATTTAATTCGATCATGATCGCTACCAATTTTACTTATATTTGTTGCGTCTATGAGGAGAAATTGCATTCAACAAATGTAGGTTGTGATGTATGAATGAGTAGTTTTTAATTTAATTGAATTATTTACGATCTTAGTGGAAAACTGCAACTCTTGGAATTTGATGGGTTCTGCGCTCTTAGGTATGAGTCGTTTTTAACTCTCTTGAATTCTCTCCTTACGCAACAGATTGAAGTAAAATTACTAGCGATCGATATCGAATTCTATGCGACGTCAACCCTTACCCCCTTTAATTTTTCGTGAACACTCTCTTTAATTCTTGTCGTTTATATTTCTGGCTACAGTGTTAGTTTCATTATCTACGTTAAACAAGTTATATTATTATTCTGAAAACATTCGGGTTAAGAAAAACCAACATTTTAGCTGAACGTTTACTACCCACATCATCCAGATTGGACTAGGCCATTAGAATATTAGAAAGAAGACGACATTTAAAAATTGGTTTTCTTTATTTTCCTGAGAGATGGGGTAAAATAGGAATAAAGGGAAAGGAAATGGCGCTGGTCTGGTATGAGAAAGCCAGTCGCACTCCTTTCAGACGAGTTCGGTATTCCTTACATACACACTCTTTTGGTACACACACACAACATGACTACAGTCAAGGAAATTGCAGAATAATGTCGTCAATTATAATTAAGTTTGAATAACGAGTAGTTTATTGCAAACTTTAATCAAATTATATTCTTTGCATGAAAATTTGGCGGATATATTTAGTGTTGAATTAAATGTATAAATAATATATTATATGTATGTTAAACTTATTTTTAAGTAAACAATTAACAATACTCTCCTAGACTGTACAAAGACCGAGATTCGTATGCACTGTATAGTGTATATACCTTCAGTGCACACCTTCGGTTCGGTATTCCTTACACACACACTCTTGGTTCTTGGTACAGACACACACACATGACGTTTCCGCCCCCTGGGGATAACATCTTCACAATGAGCCCAATATAAGAAAATGTCAATAATTGCTTTGAAGATAGTTTTGTTTGAAACTAGATACAATAAACTAGCTAAATATCAGATAGGGTTACTACAAGCTCATTTTTAAGGACATGACAACCATATTTCAAAACAACGGTTTTTAAAACAAAAATAGAGGAATTACTGTCCCTTTAAAGGGAGAAAGTATATTTAACATCCTTCCAGCTAATCTTGGCAAGGTTGGGAAACTTGTTTCATTAAGCATAGCCACTTTTATCAAAAGAAAAATAAATGATTTAAAGAATCTAAATAAACAACAGTTGGTTTTGAAAATAATATAGATTGTATGACAATGTAAATGCTTGATTCCTTTAAATTTTTGATTTTACATAATACAAATAAGAAAAAAAGGCATTATTTACACATTGAATAGTTTTTGTTGTATTGAAGCTATTTATACAGTCGTAATTTCTTTACCAATTATATGGAAGCATTAAATTATCAAAATTAAGATTAAAGATCTAATACAAAAAGAATATTTACTTACAGTAAGAGAAAAGCTAAATTTAATTTAGTTCAAATTTCTGACGGTATCAGTAAACAAAAGAGAAGTTTTGAACATTTCCTTTAAAAAGAGGCATATATATACGTACTTATGTATTATTATTTTACAAATATGTCTTCTCTTGGTTTCAGTGGAGTAATAAAATGTCGTCTTCTAAATGATATTCGAGCAAGTGTTTGTCTGGGTGGATGACGTGTAACGAAGGAATTAAAGGTTTAGAGTTTAGATTTGGGACGTCATTTCATAAAGCTTTATTTAAAGATAGTGTTAAGATTTGGGACGTCATTTCATAAATCTTTATTTAAAGATAGAGCTTAGATATGGGACGTCATTTCATAAATCTTTATTTAAAGATAGAGTTTAGATTTGGGACGTCATTTCATAAATCTTTTTTTAAAGATAGAGTTTAGATTTGGGACGTCATTTCATAAATCTTTATTTAAAGATAGAGCTTAGATTTGGGACGCATTTCATATGTCTTAATTTAAAGATAGAGTTTAGATTTGGGACGCATTTCATATATCTTAATTTAAAGATAGAGTTTAGATTTGGACGTCATTTCATAAATCTTTATTTAAAGATAGTGTTAAAATTTGGGACGTCATTTCAGAAATCTTTATTTAAAGATAGAGTTTAGATTTGGGACGGCATTTCAGAAATCTTTATTTAAAGATAGAGTTTATATTTGGGACGTCATTTCATAAATCTTTATTTAAAGATTGAGTTTAGATTTGGGACGCATTTCATATATCTTAATTTAAAGATAGAGTTTAGATTTGGGACGCATTTCATATATCTTAATTTAAAGATAGAGCTTAGATATGGGACGCATTTCATAAATCTTTATTTAAAGACAGAGTTTAGATTTGGGACGCATTTCATATATCTTAATTTAAAGATGGAGTTTAGATTTTGGACGTCATTTCATGAATCTTTATTTAAAGATGGAGTTTAGATATGGGACGTCATTTCATAAATCTTTATTTAAAAATAGTGTTAAGATTTGGGACGCATTTCAAAAATCTTTATTTAAAGATAGAGTTTATATTTGGGACGTCATTTCATAAATCTTTATTTAAAAATAGTGTTAAGATTTGGGACGCATTTCAAAAATCTTTATTTAAAGATAAAGTTATATGCCTCTCTCAGAACGGTTCCTATAAATGTTTGTATATGTCTGTCGAGATATTCTTGTGCTTCCATCTAAAAAATTGTAGATATAAATACAAGGTCTCCACGAAGGTGACTGAAATTCAGATGATATTACGTCGCCAGTCCCTTTAATAAAAGAATAAATATTTTTACCTTTTTCTGAAACTGATAATTGCGCATTTTTCTAAGAAAGAGAAGATAAAGTTTTTATGTCTTTCTTTTTGACAGTGGATTCAATAACAGGCAATGAAGCCCCAGTTGAGTTTTGAAAATATAACCATCCTTTAGTAGATTTATAATGATTAAATACCTTCCTGGAATAATATAAAAATAGTTCTAAAATGAATTTCAAATATACTTGAACTGAGAAAAAACGTCAGCAGTTATTTTATGAAAAATATGAAAGTAAATACATAGATAATTATAAACACTTTTAAACTTGATTAAGTAATGTATTGTAATCCAAACATAAGATTTAAGTTTTTAATTTTCCATTATGCTTAACAAATTAATTTATTTTCAAAGACCCCCCCCCCCTTTTAGGGCAATGAGGAATGAAAAATTGGACTTGGTTACTTGTTGTATTTTATTTTACAATTTGACTACAAGAATACATCATTTGTTCACTGTCTCACTCATACTTTCCATTTATAAAAAAGGGTGATGCGGAATTCACAACGGCACCACTTAAACTTTATCAATAAGGTGGAAGATATGGTCGTTTCCTATCTGTAAATTAGAAACCACAGTTGAAAATAATCAATTTCCAAAATTAAAAGCATGGATATCTCGTTCAGTCTTGGCCAGGCAAAGTTTTCAAGGGTTCTGTCAGACATGCCGCTCTTTCTATTGAGGATCCATTAACAACAGTGCCTTTGATCCCTGAATATTGCAGGTATGACAGGGCAGCAGCTTATGATAAAGCATCCCTTGATAGGATCCAGAAACCCCCAGAGAAGAAGGTAAACAAATTTGTTTTAAAGGGAGTGACCGGCTTTGTAAGGTAGTTGAACTGAGTATGCAGTGTTGTGGAAAGCTTCTTTCGGATTCATTTGAGACATATTAAACTTTTTAAAGATCTGTACATCCTGAGTTTAAGTGCAAATTCGACGTTCAAAACTCCTACTTTGGGGGTGGATACGTTTTCAGAAATAGTTTTTTTTTAATTATTAAATAACGACAACGAAAAATTAAGTAAAATTATACAGTAGTCTAATTAGATGGTTAGGAACATATTTCTCAAAAGAAATTTGTCAAATTCTTCAAATGTCGTCTTTTCAATAATAATAATAGAAAATCTGCGAACATCTTTGTGAATAACGAGAAACTAGAATAATGAGAAAATAGAAACTAATAATTGAACAAGATTACTTATTTTCGATGAAAAGATTAATTTTTATTTTCTCAACATGTTCCTATACATGACGTCTGTAGTTTATTGTAGAACTTTTTTACATTTTATGTCGTCGTTATTTAATAATTTTTAAAAAACTAATTCTGAAAACGTATCCATCCCAAAAGTAGCAGTTTTGAACGTCGAATTTGCGCTCAAACTCAGTATTTACAGATCTTTAAAAAGTTTAATATGTCTCAAATGATTCCGAAAGAAGCTTTCCACAACACTGCATACTCAGTTCAACTACCTTACATAGCCGGTCACTCCCTTTAAGCAAGGTTCGGATTTAAGCCAAAATGCCGTACGCATTATTCGCTAAGTTTAGTATTGCAAAGAAAATACTTGCAAGAACCTTGGGACTCGAAAGAAATGGTTAAATTGTTAAATTAAAACTCCTTCTGGGCAAATTTGGTTTTGAAGAGACCTGATATTTAGAATTCGGAAATAAATCACGCCTGTTTTTTTGATTATTTTATTAAAGGTAATAATTTATAACGAGAACTGGTACCATTTGTACCACTTTGGTAAGTAAAGATTGTCGGTTCATAATTAATGAACCTCTCAACTTGTTTGTCTTCATGAAGAGTAATTAGCTGGATAGTTTAAATAATTTATTTATTTAATATTGTTTTCCTTGTTTTAAGCTTAATCGCACTGTTATAACGTTAGACCAATATGAAGTAAAAAAAAACTTTGTTAAAATCTGTGCTCAGGGTCTATTCTATTTGGATAGGATTCGGAATAAAAAAGGATCCAGGTCCAGCTCGTAAAGTTTTTAAAATTTCCTTAATCAAAAACAAACATCCGAGCATAATTGTTATGTCTATTTTTGTACTTTTTTACCATTCGGTGATCAGGTAGGGTTTTTAATTTCTCTCATCACAACAGACAATAAAAATTTTGTTTTTTAAGAACTAGAATGTTCTTATTTCTTAGTTTTGTTTGATGCCACTTAAATCTGGATCCGGATCCAAACTAGAACACAAACCCGGGCGTGGGCCGGAATTTAACAGGGGCCTAGTTTCCTACTTTCCTGAAAACCCTTTTCCACCCCCCCCCCCTTACTATCTTTTAGCTAGGTCCCACATTAAACGCCTGATTTGTTGTCTAGGTGAAGAGTGAAAATGTGGAGGACGAGAGTATCCCAGAGAGCAACATCAAGGAGGAGGTGATCCCACCCTCCCCTGCTCAGATCCAGGAGATGTTGAAGAAAACTCAACAAATGATCGAGGAAAGGAAAAAGTAAGAAATTTAAAGGTTTTCAGGGTTTGTAGACGGAACAATTTTCTTCTTTTGGAATTTTATCTATTAATGGCTGAGCTTACATAGTATTTTATTTTTACCTAAAAAGTTTTTTTCAATAATACTTTTCGTGCAAAAAGTTATTCTTCTTGTGGGTGTTCTAAGAAACTAATCTAAATGTTATTAAAAGTTATCATATATTATTCATTTATTTCCTATATCTAATAATCTAGATTGGTATTTTCTGAACTCTACATTATCACGTTCATTTACTAATTAAGCGCAATAATATCGTGCTTTTACTTTCTCTACTAAACTCAAGATTAAATTAAACGAAACTAAAAACATTCCCGTGGTTCTACCAAGTTCCCTAATCAATATTTGAGGCAAATTAGTCAAGGGGTTTCTAAGTTATGATCGGACATGCAAAGAGACAAACATAGATTACTACATTATATGTAGAGAATTAGTAATCTCTGTTTGTTTTTTTGTATGTCAGAAGATAACACATGAACCTCATGACCGATTTGCCTCAAATTTTGATTGGGGAATTCGGTAGAACCACGGAAATGTTCTTAGCTTGGTTTAAAAGTTTGATTTGAGAAGGTCGACTTCTGTAGAAAAAAAAATGGATTCCGGGCAAAGCTGGGTCCCTGCGCTATTAGTATATAGTTTAAACAAAACTGTACATTTTTTTCTAGAATTAGTATTACGGTTTTTGGTTCTAAATGACGTCTCTCTCATATAGCGAGTCATTTTTATAATTTGCAATACTTTTAGGAAGCTGAATGTTAAAGTTGAAACCTCGAAATCTGCTCAAATTGCAGCTCTTCAGGCTTCTATTGCAGCTAAGCTTAATAAGGTACTTTCTACGCTAGAAATTGTAAACTTTATTAATTCATAAAAGGCCCAACTATGAAATCAAAATTTTGCCTGAAAAAAATGCATTTTATTTTTAATCATTTTTCAACTACAATTTTGGTGAAATCATTTTTCAACTACAATTTTGGTGATTGGAAAAAGTATATTTGGAAACAGTAATTACAAATGCTTTTCCAAATAAGAAATGCAAGTTTCGGAAAACAGTCTTTCTGAATTATAAAGATTCTGAAATACTTTTAAAGTAAAAATAGTTTTTTTTTCTCTGGATATCCAAGACAATATTTTATTGTTGATGTTCAGGTTGTCATACCAAAAGTTGAACTTCCCTCCAAACCTGTTCCTCTTATCATTGACGACAGCGGTAGAACAGTTGATTCTACAGGTTAAAAAATACTTCAAGGGTGTAAACAAGGGTGGGGGCACTAGGCAGCGGTAGAACAATTGATTCTACAGGTTAAACAATTTTACAATGGTGTAAACAGGGGGGAGGGTGCACTAGACAGTGGTAGAACAGTTGATTCTACAAGTTAAACAATTTTACATAGGTTTAAACAGGGGTAGGGGCACTAGACAGTGGTAGAACAGTTGATTCTACAGGTTAAACAATTTTACAAGGGTGTAAACAAGGGTGGGGGCACTATACAGGGGTATATTAGTTGATTTTACAATTATAAGAGTCTAAGTGCAGTGTGAGCGCAGTGAGCTATGAGTGACCAAAAGTGCACAGTGAGCAATGAGGGTTCGAAATTACAAAGTGAGCTATGAATGACCGAAAGTGCACAGTGAGCCCTGTTCTAAAGATAATGTTTAGGTCAGCAGATTCTCCTAAGCGCCCATGTTCCATCCCTGAAAGCTAATCTGAGAGCACAGGAGAAAAAAGTGGAATATGTTAAGGTAACGTTAATACGGAATGAATATAGGGTGATCCAATTAACAGGGAATTAATAGACGACACTATGATTGTCTTCGATTTGAAATATATGTTAATTTGAAAGATTGTTTTTGAAAAGGTTGTTGTGCATATTGAATTGAAATTTGGACCAATGTCTGGATATCAGTTTTGACGGTCCAATAATGAAGGAATTTATCTTTTTTTGCAGGAACAAATATCTTACAGTTATCATGCACACATTCCGTTGAGAAATAAAAGCAACAAATAAAAATGCTTTTTTAGATCTATGTGAAGTAAAGTTAGATTTAAACCTTAATTTAGGAAATATATTTGATTTTTTATATTTTTATATCTTTTAGCAAGAGAGAGTTGAACCTAAACCTGAACCCGAGGAGTCCAGCTTCCAGGATCCAAGAATAGGTAATCGAGCAATTTGATTTGAGCTGATATTATTGATTTGATTTGATTTGATTTGATTAAATCTGATTTGTTATGTTAAGTATTGAATTGATTTCAAGGGAGTTTATCTGATTTCATGTGATTTGATTTGATTTAGGCAAAATCGATTAAGGATTTGATTCAGGGCAACGAGGAGCTATGAGGTATAAGAGAGTGATGGAGTTCCATGAAGCTGGAAAGTTCCAAGCTGAAGCTCAGAGGATGAGAATGAAAGCTCAGCTAGAGAAACTACAGTCAGAGATCAGTAGCATTGCCAGGTTAGATATATAGATCAGTAGCATTGCCAGGCTAGATATATAGATCAGTAGCATTGCTAGGTTAGATATATAGATCATTAGTATTGCCAGGTTAGATATATAGATCAGTAGCATTGCCAGGTTAGATATATAGATCAGTAATATTGCCAGGTTAGATATATAGATCAGTAGCATTGCCAGGTTAGATATATAGATCAGTAGTATTGCCAGGTTAGATATATAGATCAGTAGCATTGCCAGGTTAGATATATAGATCATTAGTATTGCCAGGTTAGATATATAGATCAGTAGCATTGTCAGGTTAGATATATAGATCAGTAGTATTGCCAAGTTAGATATATAGATCAGTAGTATTGCCAGGGTGGATAGATATATCAGAATTTTTGCCAGGGAAGATATATAGATCAGTAGAATTTCTGGGTTAGATAAATAGATCAGTAGAATTTCTGAATTAGATGAGACATTTTAAAGTCGGTCCTTAATAAATATCTAATGTGTTCAGAAAGACTGGAATTAGTTCCGCGACCCAGTTGGCTAAACTGGTTCCTAAGGGAACTATGTCGGAGAAGGAACCGGATATTGAATGGTGGGATCAGCTGGTTCTAGGTAGGTTAAATCCACTATCGTGAGGATTCCTCCAAGACGTAATATAAAGTGATCCTGCAAATTCTCAACGGGACCATTAAAAGCTTTGTCTGGTCAGGAATGAATTAAATATTGATGATTTTTAATTTTAATTTCTCTGCCTAAGTAATTTTCGGATTTTTTTGCTACAGAAATAGTGGAGGAAATGTGCAGACTTAAACACTTTTCGACCTAGATAAACGACAATATCTTCCACATTATTGATCAGATGAAGGTTTAAAGGGAAACTTTGTGAATCGGGCCTGTCCTTCTATGAATAAAGGTTCACTTTAGATTATAATGACTGTCCCTTAAATCGTACAAATTCTATATTTCATGTTTTCTAAATTTTTTAGAGCGACTTCTTTTGTTTTTTAATTTGTCCATTGTATAAAGATGTTATTCCTTGATTTGCCATGAAGATGTCTCTTTAAAGATCTTATTCCTTGATTTAACATGAAGATGTCTCTTTAAAGATCTTATTCCTTGATTTAACATGAAGATGTCTCTTTAAAGATCTTATTCCTTGATTTAACATGAAAATGTTTTATTAAAGATCTTGTTCCTTGATTTAACATGAAAAATGTCTCTTTAAATATCTTATTCCTTGATTTAACATGAAGATGTTCCTCAAAGATCTTAATTCCGTGATTTAACATGAAAATGTCTATTTAAAGATCGTATTTCTTGATTTAACATGAAAATGTCTTTTAAAGGTCATATTCCTTTATTGAACATGAAAATGTCATTTCAAAGACCTTCCTTGTCTTAGCATGAAAATGTCTCTAAAGATATTATTCCTTGATCTAACATGAAAATGTCTTTTTTAAAGATATTATTCCTTGATTTTACATGAAAATGTCTTTTTAAAGATCTTATTCCTTGATTTAACATGAAAATGTCTTTTAAAGGTCATATTCCTTGATTCAACATGAAAATGTCATTTTTAAGACCTTCCTTGTCTTAATATGAAAATGGCTTTTTAAAGATCTTCATCCTTGAACATGAAAATGTCTAGGTTCTAACAACTATGATGACTGGAAACTAAGAGAGGGTGCTATATCTAATCTTATTGAACATCCTATTCAGGTGAACCTTTTATAAAAAAGGAAATAAAGTAAGTGTCCGTGCTCCATACATTTTTAAACTGGGAAAGAGATTTTGTAAAAAAAAAAAATCCACTTGAATCTCTAAAACTTAATTCTAAACGTTCTGCAAAAGAAGCCTTTCAAACTACTCGAACTCTTAAAAACTTCGTTTTTGCATCAATAGTTAGAAACATCGCCAACTTTATACTGTCACAACGGATCAGAATTGATGAATAGCGATTTGAACTGCAATCAGTTCTCTTCTGCTTGATTCTGTACCCAAGAGAAGTTGTTGAACTACGTCTACCCGGTTCAGCCACTTCTCCCTATTCATTAAATCTTGTCCTATACCTATACCTTTACCCTGATACTTTCATAAGTCATACTTCTTGTAAGCCAGGAATGTAAATATTCTTACGATATAATTTGCAAACGCTTGTTTCTAGTTTTCTTTTTAAAGGAGTATTATGAAAAATTCTAACAAAATAACGCGTGAGAGCTTTTAATTTCATAAAATACATGAGTTTATACTTTTTAAAGTTGCAACCGCTGGAGAGCACGAAATCGGTGAGCGTCCCTATGTTCTTGACGAAGAAGGAGCAGAAGAAGATGAGAAGACAGAACAGGAGGGAAGCTTGGAAGGAGAAGCAGGACAAGATCAGGCTGGGGCTTGTTCTGCCTGATGAACCTAAGGTTGGTCGGGGATTAGGTCAGGAGTAGGTTAAGAATATGTCGTGTATTTATCCGAAATATGTCAAGTATATATCAGGAATATGTCAAGTATATATCAGGAATATGTCAAGTATATATCAGGAATATGTCAAGTATATATATATTAGGAATATGTCATGTATTTATCCGAAATATGTCAAGTATATATCAGGAATATGTCAAGTATATATCAGGAACATGTCAAGTTTATATCAGGAATATATCAAGTATATATCAGGAATAGGTCAAGTATATATCAGAGTATAATCAGGAATATGTGAGGTGTATATCAGGAATTTGTGAGGTATGTATCAGGAATATGTCAAGTATATATCAGGAATATGTCAAGTATATATCAGGAATTTCTTTTGAATTGTGTGGAATATATCAGGAATTTATTTAGAATATATGAGGAATATATCAGGAATTGTTTTAGAATATATGAGGAATATATCAGGAATTTATTTGAAATTTATTTTGAATATATCAGGAAATTATTTTAAATATGTCAGAATATAGCAGGAATTTATTTGAACATGTCCGGAATATAGCAGGAATTTATTTTAAACATGTCAGGAATATAGCAGGAATGATGAAAAAGTGGTTGCTTGGAAAGCGATATTCGTAGGTTAAAATAAGTTCCTAATCCTCTGGGGTAGAGTTATTTATATCATATATCTTACAAGCTACACTGAGTTAGAGAGATTATTAGAATAATAATATTTAAAGGTTAAAGTATGCTATTAGTAGGACTTTCTATTGAAATTCATGTTAAATAGGAGAAATATTTTTAAGGGGTATAAAACGTTTATTTCTTTTTTTCTAGAGCGTACTGCATATATGATTATTATACTATATAGCATAGGCCATAATCTTCTTCTGTTATATATTACTTAACAGTTGTCAGTGTATCTCTATCAGGTTTCAAGTGAAAACATCTAGAATTTTTCTTTGGAATATATTAATTTGTTTGATGTTTTAAAGCAAATAGTTTTACCAGTACTTTGAAATTCGGCATGTTGAGTGAAAGGATTCTGTGGCCACTGCATATGAAATGCTCATAGGCCTATTCCTCCATTTAATGGACACAACTTAGCAGTAAGTAAACTAAGCAGTAAGCAAACTAAGCAGTAAGCAATTTAAAGCATGGAACATAAATTGAGGCATAATAATTAAACCAACTGACAAAGTTATCAAATAAAGCGTAAAAATACGCATACTTATATTACTCTGAATCATTGTGATTAATATACGTGTTGGATCTGTGCTACAAACCTTTAATACTGTTGGTTGTAACTTGTAGTTTTACACATATTAAGAGCAGGGGTGGGCGTCATACAAATCGATATATAAGACGGACAAGTTTACTCTGTTTGTATACTGCAATTTTCTTGTTTTACTAAGTACAACCGTATGCAGTCAAAACATAAACAAACAAAATGTGAACATAGCAGACGAAACTTACAGATTTCAGCTTTCTCGGTAGGTACCTCTATACTAAATCAAAGAATTATTTAAAAAGACGATATCGAATTCGTCACTGAATTCCCATGTTTATTGGGACACCCTGTAGCTCTCCTGTTTGCAACGGTCTCTATGTTTCTTGTTATTTAGGTTAAGATGTCGAATTTAATGCGCGTGCTTGGAAACGAACAGATAATGGATCCTACTAAAATTGAGGCGCATGTCCGCGCTCAAATGGCCAAGTAAGTTCTTATTTAAAGAAATTAAGCCTTTGACACAAACTCAAATTTTCGTATTCTCGGCATCCTGATGCTGTAAACCTTAGATATTTTTTATTTAGATTCTTTGATCAAACCTAACTCTGAGGTCTACGATATTGGGTTGCAATGATTAGAAATCAAAGTTTGTGGCAAAGACTCAATTTCTTTGTTGTTGTTTTTCTTAAATATTTGTTAAAAACGAATTTAGGGTAATGCTTTTAAATAGATTATATATATATATTTTTTCAGAATATTGAATGTTTCAAAAGAAAATTATTTCTAGTTTTTTTTTTCTATTTATTTGTTGATCTATTTATATCTATTGGAAGTTTAACCACGTATATTTCGTGGCTTGGTTAAAAGTGAGTGGGTTGATTCTTGTAATGAAAATTTAGTTTCCAGACAAAGCTGGGTTTCCAAGCTGGTTTGTTTTTATAGTTGCTTTTGTGAAGAGATAGCAACTTTTGAATGTACAGAACAAATTTTGATTAGTTGAAATAAGTTGGAACTAAAAGATCAACTCATGTAAATATATTCTTTCATTCAAAAGTTACCAGAGCTGAAAACTTTAGAATGGAATATTCTTAATCCCGATCGGTTAATTAATCTGGAGATTAATAACAAGAGGAGAACAAGCATCACTTAATCTAGAGATTAAGAAAAAGTAAAGATAAAGCATTGATCTAGATATCCAATATTCTAAAGTTTTCAGCTCAGATCAGTCGACGCCTGGATTCTTCTTAACAATTTCATTTTATGACATTATTGTATGAATGCAATGAAGCATTAGAAACATTTGCCGATAAAAAAAAACAAATTATGTCTAAAGATTGAGTCTGGGCAACGTATGTACTCAGATTGTACTATGATTTTAAACCAAGTCTAGCGGGTTTTGGTAACCTCTAAATTTGTGAATCAACGATTTTGTAACCCGCCAATGAGATAACCAAGCGATATGGTTAATCAACATAATATTTTAAGTGTAATTATTAAGTCCTACCATGGACAGTAATAACCAGAAAACTCTGGAATAGGAAGACGCTTTTTTTAGCAATACTGAAGTGTATTTGATGTTGTAACAAAGCATATAGTTTTTCTACACAACTCAAATCACTAATTAAGTGAAATTTGTCTGTTTACGCCGTATAATTATTGTTTCCCATGCTTATTTGACTTTTTAAAGTTAAAACATGATTTAAAAGTCGTCTTCCTATTTAAGAGTTTTCTGGTTATCACTGTATTTATGAAATCACACTTGGATTTTTCTAAACCATTTCATGTTTTGATAATTCTGTTCCATTCCACAATTTTCTTTTTTAATTTTGCATTTTGCAAGTTTATTTTAATTACGCGCAATTGCGAGTCCTGTAAACTCAGTTCAATTCCGCGCAACAGAATTCCGGAAACCCTTGTGGTACCATTAAATATCGGGCACTGACATTTTTTCTTGGGGGGGGGGGGAGGTCACATGAGATCTATAGTTAACAGAAATAAATTAACATCGTGTAAGCAATCTTACCTTGATATTCCCTGTAAAAATGTTGTTTCTAATTCTAACTATTGCCTTATTCTATTTTCTTGATGGTTTCTGTAATACGTTTTATGGAGAAAAAAGTTGTAAAAGTTTTGTTTCTTTGACTGATAGTACTTAGATCCGGGGTTTATGAATGTATATAATTGACGGATCGGATAAGTTAGGAATTTGACAAAAAGAACAATATTTATATTTACGAAGAATTGTTTGGAAAACTTTTCTCTATGACGGAGAACGGATAGGAGATAAGAGAAGGGTTAGCTCATCAATTACAGACAAGATAACAACATGTGGACGTGGTAGGTTTTCTGGGATAGGGGGGGGGGGATAACAACTTTCATGAGATGCAATTCTTCGTGATTTGTGGATTTAGATTATCTTGTAGGTGGATTTCCTGCAGGAGAAGAGACGTCATTGACTCCGTTACAACTCCTCGCACATAAATTTATACTTTATAGCCGGCCAAACGGCTGAACCAAATTGACTGAATCTTTTTTGAGGGAATTTATGGGTACCCTGGGTTAACATAGATTTTATTTTTCTAAGTGCTTTTTTGATTTTTATATGAATAGGAGGAGAATATCGTTGCCATCTAATTCTGCACTTCTTACTCCTGAGAACCATAACTGAAAATTATTCAATTTTCTTACGGAAAAATATTGATTTCTCCAGTTATGCCTTGTGACTAATCAGTGTATTTAACTTTTTATTTAGAGTTTCACTTAAAATTTAGTTGACAGTCCCTTTAAATTCGTATTATTGTATTGTCTAGGCGTAAGGCTGAGCATGAACAAGCTAATGCTGAGCGTAAGTTAACCCCTGGACAAAAGAAGGAGAAGAATTTAAGAAAACTGAAGGAGGATACAACCGCAGGAGTTTCTGTTACTGTATACAGGTTCAAATACTACCGTTTTTATAAGATGTTACAATTATATGTTTCAGTTTAAATTTGTTTTTCCGGAAACAAATTTGTTATGTCCGCGTCAAAATTAAAATATAAGATACTAGAAACTAAAATAAAATGTCAAATATGAGAGTGACATTTTAAATTATTAGCTTAAGGGTTGTCTTTTGAGATATGGGATGGTGGTTCAATTTACGGAACAATCTGGAGATCATTCAATGATGTCCTAACATTGAATAATTTAAGCACTGAAAAAATTGACAGATTGTACAATAACAACAAAATAGGTGTGGATAGATATATAATATGTGACTTCTCTGAAAAGAATACCCCTTCAGATATATCACACATTTCTTCCTTTATAGCGAATGTTGTTTTCTTTAACAAACATGCTTTGCGGTATATCAACTTCCTCTTCCTGAGACTTCAGTAGGAGCTATACATATATCGCGCAGAGTGTGCGATGTATCTAATTGTAATTACCCCGTGATAGATCGCAAACTCTGTGAGATATATTTATAAAAACTTCAGAAGGGTCTGCTGATATACCGCGAAGCACCTTCGTTACAGGAACAACATTCATTATAAAGGAAGCAATATGAGATGTATTTAGACTAGAATGAGTGTCAATTAAGTAATAAATTGATCAAACTAGATATCAAACCAAAACATATTAAATCAAAAATATTTAACTCGATTAAACGACTTACATAAAAAACATACAAAGGAAAAAACTCGCTAGGGAAAAACCCAACATCCAAACTTAAAGGCCGGGCTGAACAACCAGGAATGGGGAGGACTTGAAACTTATGATTTGATTTGATTTGATTTGATTTGATTTGATTTGATTTGATTTGATTTGATTTGATTTGATTTTTTCTTTGTAGAGAAGTGACATCTTGTATATATCTATCCTTACCTCTTTTGTTGTTATTGTACAATCTGTTATTTTATGCAGTGAGCTGAAAATAAATTCCATAAAAATTATGCGTCAATTTATTTTGTTAAGGTATTTTTTATATAATGAAAGTTTGTTTGTTTTACGTTTAAATAGCAATTTAATTTTCTTTCATAGTCAAATAACCGATCAATCATTCAATTACAATTAGTTGATTTTAAAGGTTTGATAATGTTCATTTTTTACACTGTAGTACACAGTGTACAATGTACATACGTAAACATGTACTTATACTTTTTTGGAAACCAGATCTTTTTACAAATGTACAAACGCTTGTCAACTCAGTCTTTAATGAATAATGAATTGAATACAAAATTTGTTTTATCTTTGCAAGGTTTTACTTCCAAATTTCGAGGATTTGCTATCAACTAAATATTTTTTATCACAATCTATAAAAAAAAACTATAAAAGCTTATGTTTTGAAAATTAGGACCAAACTTGTTATTTAAGTTTTTGGTAAATCATTAAAATGTTTTTATTTTATCCGAAAGAAGTTTAACTGGCTAATCTGGATATTGGTTGTTTTAGGAGAATAATTAGTTGGTTTTTTTTTAATCCAATTTTAACAAGTAAAATCCTTTGCGTGGGGTTTTAATCAGCTTTATGATAAAAAAAAAACATAGAGGGTATTTCAGAATACGAGTCGTTTTTGTCGTGGGAGGGGGGGGGAGCTTGGGCCTAGAAATTATTTTCGTGCCAAATAATAGTGTTATAGGTAATTTTATGAAACGTTTGTGTACTTGTCTTATTTAAATGGCTATTTCTAGATCAAATAAGCTTTAAAACAAAGTCAAAATATAAAGTTGATTTCAATTTTATTTTAATTTCAATTGAAAAGAAAATTTTGGAAATATCCTAAATTTTTTGGAGAAAATCCAGGAACCAATCAAAACTGTATAGCACACGTGCTATAATGTACAGCTTATTTAATATTATAGCACGAAGATTACTTTATAGCACGGTGCTATAATATACAGCTAATTTAATTTTATAGCACGATGATTTCTTTATTACACGTTCGAAATGAAATTCACGATGAAGTGAGTAATAATGAAAAAGTACACTATAGTTTCATATAATGTATTGTTCATTTATATAGCTAGTGGCCAGATCTGCTCTAAAGTCTTCATATTTTAATTATAGTAGACAAGCATACAATCTTCACAACTTAAGAAGGTCCGAATTGTTTCATAATGTGAAATTATAGCATTAATTTTATTTTTATGAAATGAAGGGTTACTAAAATGTTGATATATACCAAAAATGAATTTAGAAAACTTTTTAACTAGTATGGTCTACTTTTCCTTGTTGTTATGTATTACATTATAGTAAAAAGATTATAAATTGTACAATTTTCATTCCGCGTACCCTGCTTAGGCTGAAGAATCTGATGAATCCGTCGAAAAAATGGAAACTGGAGAAAAATGCCCAGCAGCTCTTCATGACAGGAACAGTAGTTCTATATCAGGTACCTAACTAGTTACTACCTACCATACTTCCTACTTACCTAACTACCTACTACCCGTACCTACCTACTATCATTCCTACCATACTACCTACCTATCTGAATACTTCTCGATCTACTTATCTTTTTACCTACTCAAGTATTATTCCACCTATCTTTCTACCTTCATACGTTTATACTCGTTGAATTGGAGATAGGTTGCAGACAGGGGCGAAAATATCATGATGTATATCAAATTATTGGTTTTAGTTATGTTTGATTTGGATTTTCCACTCATTTCTGGCATTTACAAACTTCATCAAATAAAGGCAATTCGTTTCCTACTTTTCAGCTTTCACCTTGTTTATATCCTTCATTATAGTCATTCATTTTACATTAACTACAAAGATCTGTAATAAAAACTGAATTTATTTTAAGTAAGATAAAAAATAGTTTTACTCTAAGAGGAAAAAGATGTAATTTTTTTAAATCTTTAGAAAAGCTACTCTGCAAAACTTTGAAAAAATATTGTCTTTGTTTATTTTCTAATTTCTAAAATTTTCTTGTCTTCAATGTACATGGTATAA